AAGAATAAAAACCTTGTCTGGTTAGCTAGTTCACTAGTTACTAGCTGGTCCTAAGCCCAGATAAAAACGGGAGGTTAGGCATAGGACTTTCTAGTCCTACTGCGGAAAACCAATCCAATCGCTAAAGAAACTTCAAAGCATAAGGAAAATATAGAAAATAAAAACAAACTTATTCCTCGCTGGAATCGGGGAGAAGAAATGATGCCAGTTGGTGAAAACCTTCGGGAAGCCAATTGGCCGATCTGTCTTCTAGCCCTCGATGAAAGCGAAAGTAAACGTGGGGACATGGAATGTTCAAAAAAATGTTTGAAATGAAAGGTGATCGGCAGACTGCTGAGAACAGACTGGAATAGAGACGTGCTACTGAAGCCCTGTGTTCCACTAGGGACCCAAGGGACAAAACATCATGATAAATATAAATAAAGGCTTGAAGTTAAACAAGCAAAAATAATTTCCCTATGATACAATTAAAATTGATTTGATTCACAATAATAGCAGTTACATAGTAGCATACTCAATAGGCTAAGCTCCACATCTCATGATTACGTGACTGAAGAACTCTTGAGTAATTATGCTGAGTCATGAGTACACCATTTGATTACTGAAAGTTGAGCGTTCCAACCTGTAAGACACGATCCCAGTTATTTCCGACCTCTGTACCCTCAGTTAGCTAGCAAGTTAATGTCCTAATCCACTGTATATGGATTCGAAAAACTGTGAAACACTTTGTTTTTTTCAAGACAAAACTTGCTAGGAATACTGGTACTACCAACTTTAAGTATGCTAAAAATTCCTCTGACGGCAGTAAGATGACCACGATTCGACTGGAATAAACTTAAATCTTTAATAACCGCTAATATATCTCGATAAATCTCCAGAAGAACTTATCCACAAAAGTCAAGCTAACAGACATGGAATCCAGGAATTATCAGATCGATTGGCGAGTATATTGCCATTCTAACTTAGTAGTTGAATGGTGGCGTGCTCGTTGAGAGGCATGATGATATCGTGGATGGACACTGATGATAGGTCTCATAAACTGTCTGTCTAGTGCTACCGGCTTTTCTATGCTTCTCCTAATTATTGTCAGTCCGTAAGGAATATTACATGATGTTGATTCGAACATCTAAGGCAGGTTTGTATGATGGTTCAACACACCAGTAATTCTTTTTTCATCCCTCTGAAGTTTTAAACGTTCATTTTGATCGATAAATATACCATCACCTATAGTGTTTTAATCATCAGAGTTTGAAAGGTTTTACGGTAATAAAATGGATAGGAAAACACTCAAATAACGTACCTCGGTAACGTTCAATGGTTTTTTTATTCAATCTTACTAATGACTTTGATTACATTGGGAAGAAAGGTGAATGTGAGTAAAAGATAGGTGGTAATTATCAACACTGATACATTTTTTAAAAGGTTAATCGAGTGATAAAACTGCCAGTTTTCGATATGTGTACTCATAGATGTGATGAAATACCATTTCCAAGTACATTCTACATTAATTAAAGATCCTTTCTGCGGATATCAGTATCTCGGTCAATCAAATTATGCTCTTTAACAGTAACAACAATAACCTCCTAAGAGTAATCCATCGTTTTAGATATCTTTATGCTGTATGAACATCATTGTGAATCGTAGTAAACTGCTTGTGAATAATTTACACATCTCAACATGTTTTTCCTGAATTGACATTCATACCGAATTCCAAGAAACTATTCACTTTTATTCAACCTACCTACCGAGTTTATATCTGCGATCCCCGATTTATGCAAATACCTCAGTGCTATTAGCATAGTTTCTGAGTGTACATTTATATAGTCCCTGTGTGGGAAGGCTCTGTGAGATATCGTGTGAGTTGTGTACGTTGGATGGTGTCCATCAAGGATGTCCACTCTCTCTGTTCCTATTCAGTATTATCATACATTTTCTTACTGAGGTGTCCCCCTTGTCATTTTACTATACAGAGATTACCTTGATCACAGGAGGATTTTCGATAGACCTACAATACGCAGATGGGATGTTCCTGTTAGGTGAAGACATTGACAAGATGTAGAGTCTTATGGACACCTCCAGTGGCAGTTTAAGAGTGTTTGGGTTGCATTTCTTGCCACTCAATCGTAAGTTGCTGCTTAAGCACTGATTTTCAACGGTACCCCGACTAACAATAGATGATGAAATGGTTGAACGCACTAAACACTTCACTTACATGAGAATTCGGATCAAACCTGAAGCATTGGCTAGCGGCTGACGAAATCTCTGCATGCATACAAAAGGCTCGGTTGGCTCTTGCCAGCTTACGCAATCTGTGACACCACCACAATATTCGACTATCTCTTCCGCTTTGTTTTACTTTATGGCTGTGAAACATGGTCATTAAAAGTAGAAGATAGATAGCTTCAGGTGTTTGACTAGGCCACGTTTCATGGTGTCATCACGTGAGTAACGCAGAAGTTGGGTATAGAGTTTTAGGTAGGAGAGATAAGTTAGTTGACACGGTTGTGAACCTTTATCGACTGAGATGTTTGAGACCTATGTTAAGTACACCTAGCAACCGTCCGCCTTGTCAAACAATGTTGGTCGAAGTAGGTTGAGGCTAGAGAAAGGCTCTGGGTGGCTAGACTAAAACATGACACTAATGTATGAAGTCGTTGACTGTAGGGCGTTGCACAGTAGCTGGTTGGGGTCCGCAGGATAACGGAGACGATATGGCTTAGAATTGATATCAGGGGTGCAGACGTATACACACACATTATCCTCATCTTAACCGCTACACTTAATCTCATCGTCATCTCATTCCTCCTTCCTTCCCTTTACTACCTTCTACTTCTGTTTCCTTTGATCGATGTTTGTTTCCTTCTTCATTTCCCATTTTATTGTCTTGTTACTTGATATGCTGATATGATGAAGTGTGAAAACTTGGACGTTTATGCAGTATTATCCCGGTCCTATGTTGATGTTAGTGATGATGATGATGTGTAGGAATACCGCTGGCAAGGAGTGATAGAACTACTAACAGGGATTCAGTAGTGAGTAGTAATGAGACCTCACAATCTTATGTTCATCTCATTTTATGCATTCCACTTTCGAGATAAATTGGTTTGTCTTTTGGCTTCTGTTCTGTCTTCGCTCGTCTTCCCCTTATCCTTATAATATTTCTCGTTTCTTCCTCTAGAAACTCTATACCGATTGAATGTCAACTCTAGTCCCTTTTTCCAGTGGCACTATTGCATACCAATTATGCCATGGGTAAGCAACACATACCAGAGATTTGATTGTTACCTTTAAGCTTTTACAGAAATCGTTAGCATTTAGTTTCAAGGCCTTAGGAAAAGAACTCAAACTTAGTGAGTTTAGTCGGACAGTAGAAGGAGATATTCAGGAATCCCAAGATCTGTGTTTTGGAGTCTACTGACACTTGTCATCAAAGATTGTGTCTAATCTCATAGATATGAACCTTTTGTCACCCAGTGCTGCAGTCAGATAGGTTATCACCAAAGCATTGAAACCACAACATGATCTCCATTAAGACTGAATTGCGGAGATCGTTTGATCTCTTCAGAGTCTAGTCCTGAGGGCTGCCAAGTTTGATCGATTATTTTCAGTGCAGCCAGAAAATTAGAAGACCCACCATTGTGGTGCACTTTGGGGGGGACAATAGTTGTCTCATGGTGGCAGATACCCTTTGCTAAGAAACTTAGATCAAGCGAGGTTTTCTATTAGGGAAATCTCAGCTCGAATACAGAAAGTTCTTTCGGCATTTGCCAACTTACGCCATTTGTGCTTCTGGCTGGCAAGACATCCAACTCTCTGTAAAAGAACGAGTGTAGTGGACTGTAGTCCATTCTGTTCTGTTATACGGCTGTGAGATATGGCTGTTAAAAGTACAAAAAACATGAAACATTGCTCACGTTTGGTGGAATAACCATGTGAGCAATGTCTAGGTCGGGCTAAGGATACTAGGGGAGATAGGCAAGTCGATTGATGAGGTTATAAAGCTTAGTTGACTGATTTGGTTGAGGATGCCAAGCTACCGCCTACCGCAATATACTACTCCATGCTGAAGGGAGTTGGATTAGGTTGGAAGAGGGTCCAGTATGGCCAGATCAAGTAGTGGCACTGATTGATGAAAACTGCATAGATGGTGTCTCGGGACTATTGGAATCAGTTACTGAGGACTCTTGGTGTCAAGGCTGAAAATCGGCCACAATGACACAGATGTATTTACTCCTTGACACTTTTTAAAACTTGAATATTTCAACCAACCTTTGTTTCCAGGTTGTTTCTTGTGTAACACAACCTCGTCTTCTTTGCTATTGTTTTTGCGATTACTTCAACTGGCTCTTTTTAGCAATTCTAGAAGTTGTATATCACATTAATCTTTGTATAAATGGAATGCAATTCTTTCCTAACCAATAGGAACACTGGAAACCTGAGGTCACTGGACAGCTGTCCCGTCCTAGAATTGGATTCTTCAGCAGTGCGCACCCACCACCCTGTCCTCTAGTGGTCGAACCTATGACCTTCAGGTTCCGTGGCCAACACGTTACCATCGAGCCACTCAGTCCGAACTCAATGGTTAACATTTCATACTTCTATTGGTTCACGACATCGTTGAGTATTTGTTCTCACGAGATTGTGGTTGTGCACTACTAAAAAGGCCCATAACAGGACGAAACGGCTGTACAATGCTCTCAGGTTTCCAGCGTTCCTTCGACTGATGTCAGTCCATGATGAATACCAACTTGAACAATCTCCAAATCCCTACAAGCCTCCAAATTCAAAAAAGTAAATGTATGAAGTAGATTACACTCGATTTTAACATAACGAATTTGTTTGGCTTATCATAAAAGTTTGGCTAAACTGGATGTTTTTGAAGCTATTATAATCAAGGAATTGAAGCGTTGTGTACTCTTCTTCTTGTATCTCCTTTTTCCAGTTTACATTTATCTACAAATACTTCATATCATGTTATACTTTTTTCTCTCTAATTACAGGAACTATTAATAAAACTAGTGAAATAGACTTCATGGAATATTTCAAGGCTGCTCTACACTCACTAGTACTCAATGATACTAATAACAAAGGCAGTTTACGATGTATTATCTGGTTGAGTATAAAGCTGAAAACTGACACACATATAGATGAGAACAGTATAAAACTCAATACACTGAAAGATGATAAATTCTGTGAAGCTATAATCCGACAAGAAGATAACCAAGTGATACGTGTTGCTTTACCAAAACCAAAGAATTCTGATAAGTATGTTGTATTTGTTTGCTTTTTTTATGAGGATATTGCTTTCTTAACATTATCAACTTGATATCTAGGATCATTACGATTCATAATGAGGATTTTATTACTAGACTGAATCATTTATTCCTGTTATTTTACTTTCAGTCATTCAGTGAAATCAAAAAAAGTATTACTAGTAAATACTACTGAAAAATACAAGTAGTTTTGAATTATTTTGGTTAATCTGCGTGTTAATTGATCTCAACAAGAAACTAGTACGACAATTAGCTGGATAAAGTTAGCTTGACCATATATACATCATAATAATATGGGGAAATATCATTATCATCATTTTGACTGACTATCTGAGATAGCAGCTATGGTTTTGTAAACTAGTATTCATACTGGGTAATGATTGAAGGTGGAATAAAAATTTGGACCACGGCCGGATTCTAACCAGGAACCATCGGGTTTCTAACCAGATACTCTACCAACTGAGCCACGAGGTCCGACTGTTGACCACTTCACTCACCAAGGGTTCTGACCCACTACTCTTGAGGATTGAAATGAAATAAAATCTAGTCAGCAGTTGGATTTCATAGCTCAATTGGTAAAGTATTGAGTCGCAAACCAGATGGTCGCTGGTTCGAACCCTGCCGTGGTTTAGATTCCCACTTCACCTTCACTCATCACCCAGTATCGATATCCTTAACAGCTATTAGACTGTCAGTTCAAGGTGAAGATGTTAATGTCTGTGCACATGTAACGGTATATGAAGAAGTCAAAAATATACTACGCATGAGAAATCCTTTTTTTGTGTGTGTAGGTACTTTGGTTATGATTACTGTGTGTGACGTGTTACTTCGCTTTTACGTCTTAGGTTGGATGGATAGTTAAACTTTCCTTCTTTCTGTCTAGTGCATTAAAATTCAATCCTACAGGATTACTTAGATGTTGTTTTGTATAACTTGCATGTTCTATAGCACAAATGAGGAACTCGAGGGAGCGGATAACACAGGAAGAGAACCAGTCATGGGTTGACGGGCACTCGGTGAAATGATGGACGAGAATGGAGCACTGTTTGCAGACTTCCGCGCATTCAACGATTTAGTGATTGGAGGCAGTGTGTACAAACACAAGGATATTAACAAAGCGACATGGATTTCACCAGATGGACACATTAAAAACCAGATCGACTTCATCTTAATCTCAAGAAAGTGGAGATGCAGCCTACTTGACACAAGATCAAGAAGGGGAGCAGATGTAGGTTCACACCACTCACTATCTTGTGCAGGGAACCTACGAAATCAAGTTGAAAGCCTTCAAAGAAGCTGGTGATAGACCACAGTTCAAGTTCAACACCCAGAACAGAAACTGAAGGACGAAACTACAAAGGACATCTTCACGTCAGCCACCAGAACGAAATTGGAGACATTGAGCAACATCCTTGAATGATCTGGCGTGGAAGAACACAAACTGTTTGAAAGATATGTGGAAAAAAACCTGCATAACCGTATTAGGTAGGAACGAGGAAGAAACAAGACAAGGAATGGATCTCGATGGATATATGGAAGCTGATAGAAGAGATGAAGATGATGAAGCAGAAGATGAACCAGTGCAATGCAGGGATGAACAACGAAAAGAAGAAATGAATACAACCTATAAAACATTGGATAAAGAAATGAAAAAGAGTGCGCAAAAAGAAAAAAGACACTTCTACGACACATTGGCAAGTGAAGCAGAACAGGCTGCTGGTAGGAGAGATTTGACAACATTGTATCAAATAACCAGGTTACTGTCGATCTGGGAAGAGATCAACTCAGACGAAACCACTGAAACATAGTGAAGGAAAGATAGTTACCACCAGGGAGGAGAAACAAGGGAAACGATGGATTGACCAATTCAAAAAGCTCTCGGGTCGACCACCACCTGCAACTCGTCCAGAAATACCACCAGCAACCTCAGAACTATCAGTGAACACAGTCCCTCCGAAAAAGCAGAAGTCCTGAATACCATAAAGTTACTGAAATTCGGGAAATCAGCAGGACCAGATGGAATTGCGACAGAAGCACTGAGAAGAGACGCAGAGAAAACTGCGGACATGCTCACACCACTACTGCAGAAAGTGTGGAAGGAAGTAAAGGTACCTGCCTATTGATTAGAAGAAGGGCTACCTTGTCAAACTCTCAAAGAATGGTGACCTAAGTCACTGCATGAACTGGCGTGGAATTATGCTCCACCCAAATCCACCCAAAGCAAGCAAAATATTATGCCGCATCATCCTGGAGAGACTGAAAAATGATCTGCATTCAATATTAAAACCGGAACAAGCTGGCTGGCTGGCTGGCTGGCTGGCTGGCTGGCTGGCTGGCTGGCTGGCTGGCTGGCTGGCTGGCTGGCTGGCTGGCTGGCTGGCTGGCTGGCTGGCTGGCTGGCTGGCTGGCTGGCTGGCTGGCTGGCTGGCTGGCTGGCTGGCTGGCTGGCTGGCTGGCTGGCTGGCTGGCTGGCTGGCTGGCTGGCTGGCTGGCTTCAGGAAGAACAAATCATGTTCGGATCAAATTGCAACGTTACGCTGCGCATCATCATTGAACAGAGAATAGAATGGCAGTCAACTCTCTACCTCAACTTCATCGACATTGGAAAGGCCTTTGACAGAGTTGACCCAGAATTAATTTGGCAATTGCTTGAATACTATGGAGTGCCACAAATCTTTACCAGCCTCAATCAACAGGCACATGATGACGCCACGTGCCGATTGATTCACAATGCGAAGCTGAGTGATGTCTTTGGGATAAAGTGAAGACAGAGGTAAGACAAGTTTTCCACCTGCTATCACGGATCATCCTCCTCATTGTGGTTGACTGGATCATGCTGCAAAAACCATGAGAAGCGAGAAGATGGGCATACGCTGTTTCATCGATGAAAAGACCCTGTAAGATTTTCATTTCCCCCATGATGATTTGTGTCTAGTGTCGCACAAACACAAAGATCTACAGGCGACAACCAACAAGTTGACAGAAGAGGCAAAGCAGCGAAGACGGGACTTCCTTCAGGTGAACGTAAAGAAGACAGAGGTCATGAAGATACCTAACCAACAACTCCAAGCACCAATCACCAATAACGGTAGAAATCTAAACGAAGTAGTCTATTTCAGCTACCTACTTACCTGGACAGGACGGTATAGTTTCAACTACAGGTGGCACAGGCACAAACGAGGATGTCAAAGCCAGCTGGGATTGGAAAGACAGTAAGACAGGGCTACATCATTCTGATACCAGTGTGGAGATCTATGGGTTCAGGTGATTTAATTTGCTTCTAAAGCCACTTTGAAATATGTTCCGACGCCCTTACTTGCATGGATCTATTAGTCCTCCCTATGTATGTGTGACCACACGTACGTTTGAATTCGTAGATACAATGGGATGTGACATTGTCGTTTACATGCTGTGGGAGTTTTGGGGGGAATATACGGGCTTCGTGGTTTCTATTACTTGAACCCTGGCTGCATAGTAAGTCCTTCTAACAGTAGTGTTAAGTATCTGCCTAAGAATTGCACTATGAGATTCACCTTTGAACGGAAGGTTGATGAAGGCATCGTTCTTTGGGACTGACTAAAGATCTAGTTTTGACGCATTTATAATTTTGTTTTGCCTGATAAATATTGATGGCTAGTTATTTTCCAACAGAATATCAGTCAATGTTCCTCTTCGTCTTTTTTAAGTATCCTCTGTACATATTCGTTCAATCCTACTGAATAAGCACCTTACTAATGTTCACTTGTACTGGTGTTGAAAGTAGACATTCATTTATTAAATCTTGGCTATTATTAATAGCAATTCTTACAATATCTCGACATTCACAAATTGGTATACTAGGTAGAAGAGAAGTTACTTCATAACTTGCCATAATTTCATCCTCTCCTATGATCATGTTCAATAGTTTGGTTTTGAAATCTTGTACATTTCTAATACTTGAAGAAATGTTATATTTGGAATAGTTTCAGAATTTATTGATAAATATTTAGATAGGCAGTAGGTAAACGAATTTGTAAAGTCAATAACTAATCTTAAGGGAATCCGTGTTTAGTGGATTTTCGCTCTACCGTAGAATCTATCGGCTATGTTAGTTTTAGGAGCGAACAAAAACCATGTAGCAATACCAAGTTGGGGTTTCATTTACCTCAGTAATTTGCATGTTTCAGCTTTCATTTTATCCAATATACTTGAATGTTTATTACTGGGATAAGCTCATATGATCGAGTCTCCAAATCCTTCAGTGATTTCTTTTCATAATATTTATTCAGCACGACTGTAACATTGCCTTCGTCTGCTTTCGTTGTGATATATATTATTATTATTTGTCACTTGGGTTCCTAATGAAATATAGGGCTTCACTAGCATGTCTTTATTTCACTCTCTTCTCTGCAGTCTTCTCAATCTGGCTCCAACACTGTACACAAGCTTTCATTTCTCCTCATACAATCTCTTCCATGTTATCCTCGGACACCCAACTTGTCGTTTCCCCTTTGGATTCCACTCAGTGGCCTGATCCGGTGCATGTTGTCCCCGAATGGTTTTCTCAGTGTTTGCCCAATCCATCTCCACTTTCTTCCCCTTCATATTTGTTGCGTGATAGGTTCTTGCTTCGTTAGTTTGTCCCTAGAGTTCCTTGTTGCTTATTCTTTCTGGCCATCTGATTTGATCTTCAGTATCGAGCGAGTGTAGGTGGCAGCTATTGATGCATGTCTGTAGTTTGTTGGAAATGATTTTTGTGACGTGCTAAGTCTCTGAACCATATAGAGCACTGACTTGACATTGGTGTTGAAAATCCGAATCTTGTTCCACATGCTGAGTACAGAATATCTCCACACGGGTTTCAGATTGATGTAAGCCAGTTTTGTTGTCTTTCGGATCCTGATTTTGACATCATCATCCTTGTCTGTGTCGCCTGTAGTTGAAACTATACCGCGCTGCCTAGGTAGGTAGGTGAAAGAGACTACTTCCCTTATATTTCTCCGTTGGTGGTGATTGGTGCTTGTTGTGTTGGTTGTGTATCTTCGTGATCTGTGTCTTCTCTACGTTCATTTAAATGAAGTCCCGTCTTTCTTGGCGCCCTACCTTTTCCTCTGACTTGTTAGTTTTCGCCTGTAAATCTTCTGGCTTGTGAGACATTAGACGTAAGTAATCATGAAGGAAATGCAAATCTTCTAGGGTCTTTTCATCGATGAAACAGCATATGCACCTCTTCTTGCTGCACATGGTTTGTTGCATGATCCAGTCCACCATAGTCAGGAAGATCATGCGTCATAGAAGACAGGCTTGTCTTACTCCTGTCTTTACCTCAAAGTCATCACTGAGCTTCGCATTGTAAATCATTCGGCATGTGGCGTCATCATGTACCTGTTGATTGAGGTCGATAAAGCTTTGTTGTACTCCATAGTGTTGAAGCAACTGCCAAATTACTTCTCGATCGGCGTTGTCAAAGACCATTTCAATGTCGATGAAGTTGATGTAGAGAGTTGACTGCTGTTCTATGTTCTGTTCTATGATGATGCGTAGCATACGGTTGGAATTAGATTCCCACATGATTTGTTTTTCCTGTAGCCAACCAGCCTGTCCTGGTAGTAATTTTAAACGGAGAACATTTTTTTAGTCTCTCCAGGATGACGTGGTTTAATATTTTCCTTGGGGTGGAAAGGAACATGATTCTGCCCCAGTTCTCACGTTGGAAAGAAAACTGTAATAACTGTAGTCAACACTACATTGGACAAAGTGATCGCCCACATTCACCTTCGTCTACACAAACACCAGTTGTCTATTGAATGTCGTGACATTCCATCACTCATCGCTCAGTGCACGTGGATAACATCTATGCACATGAACTGAATTTTGACAGTGTAGAAATGTTGGATGGAGAGAGGAAAGACAAAGAATATCATCAGAGAATTCCTAGAAGCTTGTCATTCACGTCAGTCAGTCAGTCAGTCAGCAATCAACAGATGCATATATATAGACCAAATCTATCAAGCAACACGAAAAATCATAAACAACAGGAGGGTGACACGTCAAACAGAGGAACAGCCAACATGAAAATCTATAGTCAGTGAATGACACAACAGTTGATGGGAACAACCAATCACAAACCAGTTGTTCAAGGCAAGCTACTACGTCACTCACTGAGAGATATTGACAGATCACTTCATAGTGAAGTTAGTGCTGATGATGTCACTGTCTGGAAAGACGATGAAAGCTTCACGACTTAACAATTCCACTCAGAGAACACAATACAACCAAGACGGAAAATTCACCCAACCAATGACCTACATTCACTAAATATTTGATGTATCATTTGACCGTATATTTTAATGTTGATAAAAACTCATATATTCTGCTGAAGAATATGTGGTTTACGCAGCGAAACGTTCAAAAATATCTTCTTTTAATTTTCTAAGCATACACTGCTATTTTATTAAAATATATGCTTATAATGATTCATATTTCAGGTTGAAATTACGTTGGCCGTTGAATGATTTAGAAGTCACAGATCGAATCAAATATGTTGACTTTTGTAATCTGTCTAATATCCTATCTATGCCATTATCTACAATTGATAGACTTGAAGTAAGTCTGTTCCATTCAATTTCTTTTATTTGTATAAAGTAATGAATTAGAGAGAATGAGATATAAGTACTGAAATATCATCACATTTTTTTTTCGAAAATTATCTTCCAGCATATATACTCCAAGTTTTAGGGTCAAAAATCACATGATGAATGACTGAATGACCGGAAGTCAACACATCACAAGCGCTGGGTTCTTATTTGTAGATTAGGGTGACATGTCTTATGTCATACAAACTTGAAGATCTACAAGCGAAAACTAACAAGTTGTCAGAAGAGGCAGCGAAGACAGGACTTCAAGTGAACGTAGAGAAGACAGAGGTGATGAACATACCCAACCAACACCACCACCAACAACAACAAGCTCCAATCACAATCAACGGGAGAAACTTAAAGGAAGTAGCCTCCTTCACCTATCTAGGAAGCACTATTTCAACTACAGGCGGCACAGACGAGGATGTCAAAGTCAGGATCGAAAAGACAGCAAGACAGACGTTCATTAACCTGAAACGATTGTGGAGGTCTTCTGCACTCAGTATGTGGAACAAGATCCGGATTTTCAACACTAAGTCAGTCAAGTCAGTGCTCCTGTATGGTTGAGAGACTTGTCGCGTTACGAAAGGCATTTCCAACAAACTACAGGTATTCATCAACAACTGCCTACACTGGCTCGTTACTGAAGATCAGATGGATTGCCAGAAACAATAAGCAACAAGGAACTGTGGTAAGGAACCAACGAAGCAAGAAGCTATCACTCAACAAATATGCACTGGAAGTAAGTGGAGAAGGATTGAATTGGCATACACTGAGAAGGCTGACTGGGGACATCACGTGCCACGCCAGGCACTTGAGTGGAACCGAGATGGGAAGCGATGAGTTGGGAGTCCGAGGTGATTGTGACATGGAGAAGATGCTGTGAGGAAGAAATGAGAGCTTGTGTGCTGTCGTGGAACCAAGTTTCTAAGTTTGCATAGAAGAGAGTGCACTGGAGATGTGTTAATGAAGCCGTATGTCCTATTAGGAACCCAAGGGACAAATAATAATAGGGTGGTAAAGTTTCAAGTAAGCTGGTCGCTTAGCCAGAGTTTAACTTAGCAAACGTTTCATGATCATCAATGCATCAGAGCTTCACTAGGAAGTGCATTAATTGATTGAGCATGGATATTTATAACATGCTACTTTGTTTGAGTGTCATCTGATTGAACCCAGATGAGTGCTTCAGAGCATGTTCAACCTAGTTGGCTGACTTCCTGCCTCTCGTCTTTGCAGAGGGGTATAACACTGTGTGATTGGTTAATTCCTTATGTTTACTTGCAGTGTTCTGATATCGCTTCGTTCTCATTCGTTCACCCTTTTTATTTGAATGACGTGATGAGGGTTGTATTCATCTAATTGGTTGATTCACTTCAACTGTCAGAGTGTTTTTTGCTACTGTTGGCTATCTACATTTCAATGAATTTGGGACCTTTCTGCATTGGATCAACTGATTCTCATGATTTGATTTGTTGCGAACAGGTTAATGTGTTGCCTCCTGTTGAATGTGGAGATTTGTTGCTAATTTACTTCAGCGTCACGACTTCAAAATTTCAGTTTGAATGTTTTGAAGTTGTCCCAGTGGAATGTGCGCTTTTGGTTGGCTTAGTGTATAGAGATGACAAACTTTATATCATGACCCTTGACAGCCAGCTTCTCTTCGTGTAGACACTGTAATACTGGTCTACTTGACTGTCACTCACTGGTGCTTGGAATTATTTCAGTCGACGTTGCTGACTTCTCTGTTCACTGGGTCTTTCACTTTATATAGGATATGTGTTGTAGTCATCTAGTTGGTTTATATGACACTGGGATACTAAGTGGAGATGCAGAGGGTGATGATTTGGGGTTTTAAACGATTAGTCCTACGTCTGAGTCTCAATAGGAACAACATCATTCACTGACAGGTAGGGACAACCAACTAATGCTCATTTTGGATTCCAGTGCTAGCCACCAATCATCATTAATCTCTTGGTGAAATGTTTCAAAGAAACAGTTTTTTCTTGGAGAACAACTTACTCTAAACATATCAGAAGATATCTACAGCGCCTAGCAAACGCATATTTACTGTGACAACAGAATATTCATCAGTAAGTTTTGAAAAATCCTTAATAGAAGTGGATTACATGTGCCAAATATCTAGCAGATAGAAATCGATGTAACAGCATTGAAGTGACTAACAGAATAATACAAAATACATGGAACGCTACTAACTCATTGAGATATTTGAAATGGATTTGAATAGTGACCACCTTATACTTTATTAAGCCGTAAAAATTAGAGGAGAAAGACCGATTTGTGACTGTAGAGAGGATAAATTTACTTAAAATAAGTGTAAAAATTAGGCAGCGTGGTAGAAAGTAATTCCATATCAGATTTGTTTATTTGATATAGCCAGAACCACAGGGTAATACAGTATTATTTACTTAATTACGTTTCCAGTAGAAATGAGCATTGCTCATAATCATATCCCACAACTTTCAACATTTGATTTTTATACTTGTGTCACCTCATATTCTTTGTTTCTGTTGGTAGTAAAATTTCCCTTATCTCTGGTATCAAGTGTTACGTCATTTCTGTTACATGTGTTGGGTGTTAGCTGATTCGATAAACAGAAATTCAGTAATCAATCCCCATCTCTCTTCACCTAATTATATTGGACAGTGGTAAAGTGATTTTATCCCACCCGTCCTATAGTGTGATTGTCTGTTAATGCATGCATTGCAATAGCCGAGTGTTTTTCCACAAGATTATTGACCTTATTGGGGTCTGCCATTCTGCATTAAGCTAAATTCCTATGGTTCCCTAGCCTAACTGAATCCGACCGGCCAGTTTGGTCCATGTGCCTGACCTCGCAGTCATTAAATGGAATTTGATAGATTAGATTATTTTGCTTGATTCGATCTATCGGGTCCTTAAGCCAGCTGACAAAGGTTATCTGTGAGTGAGTTTGTATGTTGAAATCCCACCCTAATTCCAGCTCTGTTGAGGATCCTACGTAAAGTTTCAGATGTACCTTTCTTATACGATAGCACAATGGAGGTTGTGAACACCTTTCTACTCGTATTACTGTTATCTTTTCCTTTCCTCTGTGTTCTTAATAAACTATAGAGGATAATTATCAACTATTAACGCTTCTGTTATTCGTTTCAATTCCTTGTTTAAGTCCTTACAATAACTGGTGAGTTTTTTTAGCTCTGTCATTTGGACATTTGACTAAACCTGCCTTCACTGACTGAAGTGAAGTCTACATACCTGATAGAATTTGTTGGTTTCATGTAGACGGCAATATCCAAATCCCTGTCTGCCCTCTGTTTTATCCTACAACCCAACGTAGGTAATCCTCTTTGTTCACTTCCTCCCTCATCGCAAGTGAATTGGATTGTGTCCATTACTGAGTTTATATATGTGATGACATCGTCGATATGATCTGATTTCAACACAGTAGTAAATGTGTCATCCAAATATCGTCAACATATCTTACGTACAGGAGTAAACTTTCGTAAAGCCATGTCTTCTCAACTATCCATACACATATCTGCGACGATTGGGGATATTGGGGATCCCACTGCTATTCCTTCTGTTTGTCTATATTTTATGTCCTGAAACCTGAAGACTGTGGAGGTCAGGCACAACTGCACGCTTAATATGATCTAATCAACTTATAACTTATTTCTGTGAGTATGTTCAATATTTAGTTGATTTTTGACTGACACGAGTAGAAAGGTGTTCACAGCCTTCATTGTGTTACTCTATAAAGAAGGAACATCTGATACTTTATGTAGGATCCTCAACAAGGTTGGAATTAGAGTGGCATTTAAGCCTACAAACTCGCTCACAGATAAGGCTTGTCGGCTGGTTTAAGAATCCGACAGAACCAATGGAGTAAAATAACTTAATCTACTAAATCCTATGTAGTGACTGTAGAGTCAGGTACATTGGTCAGTTGGATTGGCCCAATATAGGAAGTCAGCCAAATATCCATTGACAGACACCAATCGGATCAACAATCTTGAAGAAAACTTGGCTCAGTATAGTTGAAGTGAAAGGGATTGATTTCTGAATCTTTGTTTATCTTATCAGCTAACACCCAACACATGTAATAGGAACGATGCAACCAACATCTGTATCAGAGATATGAACAATTTTACTACCAATACAAACAAGGAATATGAGTTGCGTGATAGAACTATGAAAAGCAGATGCTGAAAGTAATGTGATCACATTGAGATGATTATGAGGAGCTAAGATTTCTGCTCGGAAAGCCATTAAGTGAATAATACTGTATCATTGTGTGTGTGTGTGTGTGTACGGGAGAAACCTAAAGGAAGTAGCCTCCTTCACCTATCTAGGAAGCACTATTTCAACTACAGGCGGCACAGACGACGACGTCAAATCCAGCCAGGATCGAAAAGACAGCAAGACAGACGTTCATTAACCTGAAACCATTGTGGAGATCTTCTGCACTCAGTATGTGGAACAAGATCCGTATTTTCAACACCAACGTCAAGTCAGTGCTCCTGTATGGTTGAGAGACTTGTCGCGTTACGAAAGGCATTTCCAACAAACTACAGACGTTCATCAACAACTGCCTACACTGGCTCGTTACTGAAGATCAGATAGATTGCCAGAAACAATAAGAAACAAGGAACTGTGGTAAGGAACTAACGAAGCAAGAAGCTATCACTCAACAAATATGCACTGGAAGTAAGTGGAGAAGGATTGAATTGGCATACACTGAGAAGACCATTCGGGGACATCACGCGCCACGCCAGGCACTTGAGTGGAACCTCGATGGGAAGCGACGAGTTGGGAGTCCGAGGTGAGGGTGACATGGAGGAGATGGTGAGAGGAGGAAATGAGAGCTTGTGTGCTGTCGTGGAATTAAGTTTCTAAGTTTGCATAGAAGAGAGTGCACTGGAGATGTGTTAATGAAGCCATATGTCCTATTAGGAACCCAAGGGACAAATAATAATAATAATTGTGTACTGGCTAGATCACATTAGTTATAAAAAGCTTTTTCTCAGAAAGTAAAGCCAGTAGGTCAGAAATTGAATGTCTAATTTGATTGGTCAGTTGAAGAACAAAATTGTCCAATAAGGTTTTTCCTGACCACACAGTGACATAAAGCAAGAGTTGAAAGTTAAATCTTCTACCTTAACAGCTGATGACTTAGAATGCTGATTTTGATTTAGGAGACTTCAAATGATTTAGCCAATTAGCGATAACTTGCATATTCCAACGTGAAAAAAAAATGAAGCAAATGAAAAAAATTTTTCTGCTATAGCATCCCTAGTAGCTGTACAATCATTTTCACATGGAAACAGAAACATTGTAAAGTCTGTCGAGAGAATTTGGTTAACTGTGTAAACTAGATTTCGGTAATTCAGTTAATCTTTTGGTAAAGTATGAATTTTTCAGCTTCTCATTTAGAATTTGATCGTTAGTACAGAACAGGATACTTTAGAACAATTCGCTGCCAGTTGTATATATTATGCAGATCATCTTGAATATATACTCTGTCTCAAAGTTTGTGCAAAAAGGCATCATTCCTCAGACTGATGGTCAATAAACTGTATTCAGTAGGGATTAGTGGCTGACTTCAGCAGTCACCAGATAATATGCAACTCGAAGTGCTGACGGAGATGGACGACTTGAATATAATAATATGATAAGTAAGTAAAATGACTGTATATTAATCGACTGGGAATTTTTCCCAAGTGACAGGAACTGTTGTTATACACTCATAACATCTCAAATCACGTCAGTGGAATGCTGTCACTAAACTGCTGAAGGGACAAAGAAAACAAGACTGGTAGAGCATAGAGCCAGTAACCACGAAGTTGCTGGTACGAATCCTGACATGGCCTTGATTTTGACTTCACCTTCAATCATTACCCAGTATCGATACGAGTTTTCCAAACCACGCCTAACTCAGGTAGTTCAACTAGCCATTATAAGATTTACTGCTCTGAAAAGAGGCGAATCCCGGTTGAAAATATAGCTGTTTATATAATCATCATTTGACTATCTGAAAAGCCGTAGTTTAGTGAAATGGAAGCTTGGACTGCGGATGAATTCCAACCAGCGTCCACTAAGTTTCCGGCACGATGGTCTACGAGCTGAGCTACGAGGTCCGACTGCTCACCACATTTTTATTTCACTTCAATCACCATGGATTTTGCCCGACGAATACCATGTGAGTTCGTGACGCGTTACTACCACTTGATAGTATTCACACTGGCTGCCCACCACTCAGGACCTCTTATCCCAATCGAAATGTAACTAGATTAGAGAGGGGAAGGGAAGCATCATATTGATTATCATTTGGCTGTTTGAGATAGCCGTAGTTTGGCAAACCAGTATTTCTACTGGGTGATGACTGAAGGTGAAATAGAAATTTGAACCGCACCTGGATTCGAACCAGTGATCACCGACAGTCAGATAGTTAAATGATAATCAATATGATGCTTCCCCTCCTCTCTTTAATTCAGTTATATTTCGATTGGGATGAGAGGTCCTGAGTGGTGGGCAGCCAGTGTGAATACACGTCACGAATTCACATGGTAGTCGTTGGGTAAAAGCCATGGTGATTGAAGTGAAATAAAAATGTGGTGAACAGTAGGACCTCTTATCTAAGTTTAAATAATCATTTAACTGGACCAATAAGTGCCAAGTATAATACAGAAAAAGTGTCTTTTCAGATAATAGTTTACAATGGACTAATAAAACACAAATGAAACCGTCCTTGACCGAAATTGAAGACGAATATTTGCTCCCATAACTCACATGAAGAACAGTGACCAATTATCTGTCTTTCTGTTTCTTCTAATACTTCCCTTTATTTAGTTTTGTTTAGTGCAGTATATCTTCCAATAAAAGATAAGTTGAAGAAATTAAGTCGGCCTTCCTATCGTCTGTAACCTTGCGGTTTATTTATCAACTCGTAATTCTGTTTTCTGTTCACTTTGATTCTTTAATCCCGTTCATTCACAAAATAATTCGAATAACTTCATATGAAACATCTTGGTTGTATTGTGTTCTCTGAGTTGGGTTGTACAATCGCGAAGCTTTCATCGTCTTTCCAGACAGCGACATCATCAGCACTAACTTCACTATGAAGTGAGATGTCAGTATCTCTCAGTGAGTGATTTAGTGGCTTGCTCTGACGATGTGATCTGTGATTGGTTGTTTCCTTCGACTCTTGTGTCACTGACTGACAGCATAGACTTTCTTGCTGCCTGTTCCTCTGCTTCACCACTCACTTTTCTGTCGTTTATCATTCTTCTTATTGGTTGAAAGATTGGGTCTATGTCTATACATCTGCTGATTGCTCACTGACTGACCTGAACGAGGAGCTTCTAGGAATTCTCTGATGATATTCTTTGTCTTTCCTCTCTCCATCCAACATTTCTACACTGTCAAAATTCAGTTCATGTGCATAGATGTTATCCACGTGCATTGAGCGACGAGTGGTGAGATGTGGTGATGTCTGATAGTCAATGGTTGTTTATGTGGACGAAGGTGAAGGTGGGCGACCACTTTGTACAATGTAGTGTTGACTACAGTTATTGTAGTTGATTTTGTAAATGATATTCGGTTCGTCTTCTTTGTTTACTTTATGTCCACCTAAAAGAAGAACGCCTAACCATGAAACTTCATCAGAACATGTCCATCCCGTTCATCATCAACTGCCAAATAATCAACAGAAATCAACAAACGCAGCATAATACTACCATACATAAACAATATATCACAAATCACAACTCGATTGCTGAAACCACTTGGAATTCATGTGGCCACTCATAAACCAACAAATTCCCTACTAACCACATTATGCACATCAAGGATGCAACAACCAAAGAAGACGAACCGAATATCATTTACAAAATCAACTACAATAACTGCAGTCAACACTACATTGGACAAAGTGGTCGCCCACATTCACCTTCGTCTACATAAACAACCATTGACTATCAGACATCACCACATCTCACCACTCGTCGCTCAATGCACGTGGATAACATCTATGCACATGAACTGAATTTTGACAGTGTAGAAATGTTGGATGGAGAGAGGAAAGACAAAGAATATCATCAGAGAATTCCTACAAGCTTCTCTTTCACGTCAGTCAGTCAGTCAGTCAGTCAGCAATCAACAGATGTATAGACATAGACCAAATTTATCAACCAACACGAAAAATCATAAACAACAGGAGGGTGACACGTCAAACAGAGGAACAGTCAACATGAAAATCTATACAGTCAGTGAATGACACAACAGTTGAGGGGAACAACCAATCACAAACCAGTTGATCAAGGCAAGCTACTACGTCACTCACTGAGAGATATTGACAGCTCATTTCATAGTGAAGTTAGTGCTGATGATGTCGCTGTCTGGAAAGACGATGAAAGCTTCACGATTGAGCAACCCAACTCAGAGAACACAATACAACCAGTTGGAGAGTCGTATTAACATTGTTGTGTCGATTTTTACAGTTTTGTACTACTTCAACTTCTAGCTGTCTAACCCTGTCTATTTTTATGTTGAATTCGTGACATGCGAATCATATAGCGAATAAAGTTATACTGCATGATTACTGAGGATGTAGCGGAAATCTGGACGGCGGCTGGATTCGAACCAGCGACCCTTAGGTTTCCGGCCTGATGCTCTACCAATTGAGCTACGAGGTCTGTTTGCTCACCAGATTTTTATTTCACTTTAGTCATTAAGTGTTTTTCCCTGTTGGTGGAGTATCGGTCCAGAAACCCCATGGCCGATGGTTCGAGTCCGACCATGGTGCAAACTTTCATCTCATCTTCAATTATTACCCAGTGTAAATACTACAAGTCTGCCAAACTACGGTTGCTAACTCAAATAGTCAAGAATTCACTTTATAATTAAGTCAATTTGTTCGACGTAATAAGCTATGAAAAATTCTTCTACATTTTAATTTGTTTGCGTTTTACAGCTTTGTTTAGAAGTACCAGAGAAAGATGTGATATACAAATTTATTGAACATTCATCTTTATCAGATAGTCATCTAATTACATTTAAAAGTGAGTTATTTATTGTTTTAATGAATAAATTTAGTTTTCACGTTTAAATATTGATAAATGATTTTTATTTCATTTACTTATAGAATGTTTCATTCAATTTGTTTATTCTGTTTAAATGGACTATGAAGGCTGTAAACTGTTCACAATTGTAATGGATATATTTGTTGATTTATTTTTAGTTACATGTCATTATTCCTTGGATATGGATCCATGAAAAACAGATGCATTCATATTCTCTGAAAGTTATCTGTGACCTTTATGTATACATTAAGGTGAAATCTTGTGTATAGTTTCAGCGTAGTTCATTGGTGGAGTGTTGAAACTGGACTACCATGTCTGAGCTTTGTTTCACTTATCCAGGATGATTGAGATAGATCCTTATATTTTCTCTTTATTTTTAACAGTGTTGACTGGAATGACTGATTATTTGATGGATACTTGACAACAAAAATTATCTGTTTATCCAGATACTATGAAAATTGACTGTTGCAAGGCTAGGCATTATCTTAAAACAAACCATAGAATGGTAGTCAACTGTACCTGTACCTCAACTTCATCGACGTTGAAAAGGCCTTCGATAGCGTCAACCGAGAAGTAATTTGCCAGCTGCTTCAACACTACTGAGTGAGTACCACAAACCTTTATCAACCTCATTCAACAGCAGCTATATGATGATGCTTCATGCGAAGTGATTCACAATGGAAAGCGCAGTGATGCCTCTGAAATGAAGTGAAGACAGGGGAGAGAAGTAGGACAAGGTTTCCACCTACTATCAGCTATCATGTTCCTCCTTGTGGTTGACTCGACTGCACAAGATCATACAACAAACTGTAAGGAGCGAGAAGATGACTGTTTGACCGATGGAAAGATCCTAGAACATTTAGATTACGCCGATGAGGATTTATATCTAATGTCTTATGTCGCGCAAACACGAAGATCTACAGGCAACAACCAACAAGTTGACAGAAGAGGCGGAGCAGCGAAGATGGGACTTCCTTCAGGTGAACGTAAAGAAGACAGAGGACATGAAGATACCTAACTAACAACTCCAATCACCAATAACGGGAGAAATCTAAACGAAGTAGTCTATTTCAGCTACCTACCTACCTACCTAGACAGGACAGTATCGTTTCATTCAGGCACAAATGAGGATGTCAAAGCTAGCCAGGATCGGAAAGACATCAAGACAGGCATTCATTCATTAATCTGAAATCAGTGTGGAGATCTACTGCACTGCACTGCACTCAGCATAAAGCGTGAACAACATACGGATTTTCAACACTAACTTTGTCAAGTCACTGCTTCCGTGTGAGGGTTGACAGAATTGGTGCATCATGAAAAGTATTCCCAACAAACTACAGACATACATGAACATATGCCGCCTAAGTTCACTCGATAGTGAAGATGGAGATCAGATGGATTGCCAGAAATAATAAGCACCAAGGAACTCTGACTGGAAACAAACCAACAAACCAAGAACCTATTTCCCAACAAATATACGGAAGAAGAAATTATAGATGGATTGGATTGGACGTACACTGAGAAGACGGTTTGAGGATATCGCCATATCCTCGAGTGGAATCCAAGTTGGAAATGACGAGTTGAGTGTGCGAGGTTGACATGTTTGAAGTGGTATGAGGAAGAAATGAAAGCTTGTGTGCAGTCGTGAAGCCAGGTTGAAACGACTGGAGAGAAGAGAGTGAAATGGTGAAGCCCTATGTTCCACTAAGAACCCAAGAGACAAATAATAATAATAAAATACCATACGCCAAATTGATGAAATCAACATGAAATCTGTACTTCTGACAGAGGTTTATCAACCCCGAGATACACTAATTTAGCCCACTTTAGTAAAACGTAGATCCAGTGAACTTTAAAAAGTACTTCACATATGACTGAAGAGTGTTGCTTACTAACTGTTACTTCCAAACTTGATAGCCCTCTAAGAACTTTCAGCAGTTTTCTGTTTCCTATCAACATGATAATTGATTGAAGTGAAGATTAACTGCAATTAAGTGTTAAATCTTATCAGTAAGGGAGCAGTCAATCGACTTTTTTATTATTCACATGAAACCTGGTGAAAGATGTGTTATGCAATCCAAGCAATAGATTAAGTTAATTTGAAGTTAATTGAATTTAGTATACAATGCTAAAGTCTGACTGTTACGAAACAAATCTAAGTGAGTTTCAGATATCCATTTTTGGTTGCCTTTGACTTATGGTATAGACTAATGTATATCTGAACAATTTCAAAGCAGTTCTACACAAAATGAAAGGTATTGTGATTTCCAGCATACTCTACATGTCCTCAGCCTACAATATAAGCTAATGAGCACTATAGATATCTGAATAGACAACCACTGCCGTTGGTAATCTTCATAGCTTTTTGTCATAGCAGCTGAATACTGGAGGTCATTGAGTTGAACAAGCGATGTGAACTTACCTACTTGCCAAAAAATTGTACGGAATACCTGCTGACTATTAACAAATTATGATTCATTTTGGAGATTTGTGGGGAGTTGTTCATCGATTTCAGGTTAGTATTCATCATAGATTGACATCAGTTATAGAAACACTGGGAACCCTGCTGTTTCATACTAGTAAGGGATTCATCAGCAGTGGGCATCCATGACGTCCCCTCACATGGGATTAAAACCATAACCTTCAGGTTCCGTGACCAGCACGCCGTAATTCAGTCACCGGATCGTAATCCATTGGTCTACAGTTCCTACTTCTGTCACTTCATGATACAGGGCCAATTCAATCTAATAACATCGTCGGGTAACTATACTTATGTTCAGATTGGTTGGCCCTACCAGTCGCAACCTCTGGTTAATACTTCGGGAATCACTTCTAGAAGCGATTAGTCAATGAGTACTATAAGTATTTAATTTGGAGGTCTGTGTGGTCACCAGCTTGCACTGCTAAGAGTCCCACATGATGATGAAATATTGTTCTAGTGCTCTCAGGTTTCCGGTGGTTCTCCAACTGATTTCAGTCCACGATGAATACGGAATTGGGGTCAATAAATCATCTCAATCCCCCAAATCGAATCAGTGAACTTACTCTTATGAAAATCTAAAACTTAATCCCCAAAAAACTGACGAAATAACGTTTCTCGGAATGTTTCGTGATGTGTAGAACTTCTAGACAAACTTTCCCGTATTATAAAGAGTAATGCACTAGGATTGGCTGTTAGATATTAGGTTGGTATTCATCACCGACTGACATCAGGAAGCGAAACATTGAAAACCAGAGAACACTGAACAGCTGTTTTGTACTAGTTTGAAGTTCATCAGCAGTGCGCACCAATGACTCCTCCCTCCCGTGGATCGAACCTAGAACCTTCGGGTTCCGCTACCAGAACTTTGCCATTGAGCCACTGGGTCGGAATCCGATGGTACACAATTCCTACTCTTCTCAGATCTCATCCAAAAAAAATGCACACCTTAGTCCTTTGTGTTTGTTGAAGTCCACTGATCAAAATGTCTGGCTCATATGGTTCTTTTTACCATGAAACATTTCTGAGATTAAGACAAAATCGGTGTAAAAGTCAACATGAAGTTGGTTACCCTCCAGTGACTAACAAGTATATCATCTTATCAAGTCCTACATTTGGTCAGTTGCTGTCCGAATACCGCAACCGACTGCAGCAGCGAACAGTGAGGGTTGAACCTCAGTTGGTACATGTGTTCTGTAGAAGTTGCAGATATGCCTTTCTGATGAGTGCAAATGAGAAAGAAATCTTGGTCCAGGAATCCCTGCCGATCACCTCCATCCATCTAACAAGTAGTAAAAGTGTTAGATATTAGCGAGTTTATTGCTTCTCTCCTCTTTTAAGCACGTAGCATCTTACCGTACAACGTAACTGACAGTATTTCAGCCCGAAAAAACCTATACGTTAATATTAATGTAGGTCTTGAGCACTATAGTAGAATATAATTCCATATTAGGTTTGTTTATTTGATATAAAGTACACAGCAATTGATATAGTACAGGATGAGTTATTGCTGACAACCATGTCAATGTGATCACACCACTTTCAGCAATCGACTTTTATAGTGCTGTCACCTCTTATTCATTGTTTTTACTAGGAGTAAAATTTTCCGTATCTCTGGTATAGATGTTGCATCATTCCTGTAACATGTGATGGACATTGATTCGATGAACGAAGATTCAGTAATCAATCCCTCTCTCTTCAGCTAACTAGGCTGAGCCAAGTTTTCTTCACGATTATTGATCTTATTGGTGTATGTAATTGTATATTTGGTTGACTTCCTATGTTGAACTAATCTAACTGAACCCAACCAGCTAGTTTGAAGTATGTACTTGACTCCACAGTCATTGAATAGAATTTAGTAGATTAGATTGTTTTCCTTGATTGCATCTATCGGATCCTTAAGCCAGTTGACAAAAGTTATCTGTGAATGAGTTTGTAGGTTCCAATGCCACCCTAATCGCAGCCTCGTTGTGAATCCAGCGTAAAGTTTCTGATGTACCTTGATTATAGGGTAACACAATGGAGACTATGAAATCCTTTTTACTCGCGTTGTCGCTACTACTCGTATTCATATTACTGTTATTATTTCGTTTCTTGTGTTCGTATGAATTTCTTAATAAACTGTAGAGGATTATTGTTACTAGTAATCTCTTTTTTATGGGGTTTCAATTCTTTGATTAACGCCTTGCACTAACTAGTGTGTTGTTCTACTCTATTATTTAGACATTTCACTACACCCTCCTTAACCGACATTGTATGAGATAACTTGAAGTTTAGAAAACTGTTAGAATGTATGGGTTTTCTACAGAGAGTAGTATCTAAATCACCGACTGTTCTCCGTTGTGAAATGGTAGAGAGTATTTGTAGCTCAGGTGGATGGTCTTGGTTGTATTGTGTTCTCTGAGTTGGGTTGTTCAATCGTGAAGCTTTCATCGTCTTTCCAGACAGCGACATCATCATCAGCATTAACTTCACTATGAAGTGAGCTATCAATATCTCTCAGTGAGTGACTTAGTAGCTTGCCTTGACCAACTGGTTTGTGATTGGTTGTTCCCCTCAACTGTTGTGTCATTCACTGACTGTATAGATTTTCATGTTGACTGTTCCTCTGTTTGACGTGTCACCCTCCTGTTGTTGATGATTTTTCGTGTTGGTTGATAGATTTGGTCTATGTCTATACATCTGTTGATTGCTCACTGACGGACAGACTAACTGACTGACTGACTGACGTGAATGAGAAGCTTCTAGGAATTCTCTGATGATATTCTTTGTGTTTCCTCTCTCCATCCAACATTTCTACACTGTCAAAATTCAGTTCATGTGCATAGATGTTATCCACGTGCATTGAGCGACGAGTGGTGAGATGTGGTGATGTCTGATAGTCAATGGTTGTTTATGTAGACGAAGGTGAATGTGGGCGACCACTTTGTCCAATGTAGTGTTGACTACAGTTATTGTAGTTGATTTTGTAAATGATATTCGGTTCGTCTTCTTTGGTTGTTGCATCCTTTGATGTGCATAATGTGGTTAGTAGGGAATTTGTTGGTTTATGAGTGGCCACATGAATTCCAAGTGGTTTCAGCAATCGAGTTGTGATTTGTGATATATTGTTTATGTATGGTAGTATTATGCTGCGTTTGTTGATTTCTGTTGATTATTTGGCAGTTGATGATGAACGGGATGGACATGTTCTGATGAAGTTTCATGGTTAGGCGTTCTTCTTTAGCGTGGACATCAAGTGATTTTCTTCGTTTTTCTCTGTGAAGTTGTTTTACTGCAATGTGTTCTCGGTCTCTTGAGTAGAGTCTGTAGGCAAGTTATTTTGCGTGTTGTTGGGTTGTTGCTACTGTAGTTGAGGATTTGATCAGTATGTATTGGCTACATGTACATTTGGGTTCCCAGTTTTACGGCATTTGTCCTACTGACTAATATATTCAGGAATGTTTGACCGTTTCTCCATTGTGAATCTGATGTAACGGAAAACGTTGCTGATCAAACTGTAATTGTTTTCTAAATCATCTTTCTTTATGATGAAATAGGTATCATCGACACAGCGAATCCGATTTTTCGGTTTAATCACAGGTAGGCTGATGGCATCACTGCTTCTGAAGTTAGTCCAGATATTAGTAATCCCATTGGATTTCCTTACATCTGCTTGTATATCCTGCCATTGGATAGGAAGTTTGTTCTTTGTTTTACTCTGCAATCCAGCGTAGGTTACTCTCCTCCTTCACTCGCGACGTCGTGAGTTAGATGGCGCCCACTACAAAGAAAACCGGGTGGATGATACGGCTACTAAACTTGATTGTTGAAAGTGGTGTAATTACATTGATATGATTATGAACAGTAATAATTTATACTGGAAACGCCATCAAGCAAATAATACTGTATCACTGCTCATCACATCAGATTAACAAATATAATATGAAACACTATACATTAACTGAATTTTCTAAGCCATAGTGAAACTAGAAACACCAATTTTACAAAATAACAAAGATACAACGATCAAATCAGAACAAAAATGATGCCAGTTCACGTAAAGAGCATATTTCTTACCATGTGTTCAAGTAACTGCGTTTGACATATGCCAGACTGGACTACAGTTTTATTCATGTTTGATGACTACCAGAAGAATACAGGACGCGTGTCTCTCCCTATTTGATACTCTTGAGCTGTGGATAACGCATTGGCTTTGGAGCCATGGGTATTGGGTTCTTGTCTCGGTGGGAATAACACCACCCACTGAGGTGCAGGTATATCCAGCGAACGAATCCCAATAGGAGTGAGTCATCAACATGAATGTAACATCATGAATATCTGGTAGTATCGAAGCATTCACATAGGGACTCACTTGCCAACAGCAGATGTCGAGCAATTTGGCCCTGTATAGCAACAGGAAATTACAAGTATTTTAACGACAGTAAACTTCTACGGCTTGAATCAAACTATATGAAAAGGAATGGACAACCAGGAAGGGATTTCAAAGACCAACGATTTTTTCTAGGTTGTTGTTATTGAACCTCTTTTAGTACTTTACTTGATTGCAGCTGGTAGTGAAGCCCAGGATGTTTGTTTTGTCCTATTTAGGACTTGTCAGCTGGATCTACATACACCCCAGTCAACGATTTTTTTCCTAGTGAAACTCGAATCTCTTACCAATCGCTTCAAACACCATAGCGTCATCCATTAGATCATCGAGGCACGATGACCACCTCTTGTACAATGGATATTAGTTATTATTATTTGCCGATATACTTGTAATTCTACATCGTTATACTGGCTCGAATTACTCGACCTCTGCTGGGATATGGCTTGCTATGCAGATGTCTCTTATAATACTACCCATATTTCACTGAAAATTAACTGTTGGCTATGAATAAACTATTTCGCAATTGTCTTATTTCACAGAGACAGGAAGCTTTTCATACGGCCTACCTACCTTCTCTCTTCTTATCGATTATAAATGCCATTACCCTTTTTCAGCAGTTAGGCTAAATGGAGTCATCCAAGTGTTCATAGTGTTAACGAGATAACATCGAGTCATTACTTCAGCCTACAAGAACTGTGGTTAACGTAACAATACGATACATGTTCTAATATTTGTCTAGTAACTAGTCAGCTTTAAGATATCTCTTTGACTCCTATCTAAATGTCAACATCAAACTAGCCAGTTTAAATCCCTGATATGGAGGTGTATGCTGGAAACATACTGGCTCTGTTAAGTGGATGTAGGAGATTGGCAGGAAGCCCTGGACCTAGATTTCGTGCTTATTACAACTCATCAGCAAGACGTATCAGCTACGCCAATGAAACTGATGTCCCACCTGAGATCTGAACCTATGTCACCTAGTGTTGCATTTAGCGACTTTATCACTCAGCTTTTCGGTCCACAACTGGCCTCGTGTACGACCAACTTCATGTTGTCTAGTCCTAAGTTACCTCGGTTACCCTCCAGTGACCAATCAGTGTACCTCATCCAATCTTACAGCACTTTAACCGCGTCCTGAGTAGCTCAGTGGTAAAGTCACTGACTTCACTGCTGGATGACGCGGGTTCGGATCTCAGGCGGCACATTAGTCCCATCGATGGTGGAGTTACGCCTTGCTGACAACTGGCAACAATAGCAAAACGTAGTTCCAAGACTTCCTGCGGACTGCCTCCATCCAACTAACATATGTCATGCTGGATCTGGTACGGTATGTTTGAGCCTAGACACCTGGGTTTCTTCAGGTAGATTATGGGTTCGCAAATAACTCAACTTGAGGACATTTTGACGACATAGGAACTTCATTAATTCTAACTCAAACCTGTACTGGGTTGCTTGTATAAATACAAACTTTGTTACACATAGTATACAACTGACTGACATAAATAGTTCTCCATCACTGACATCAATCAACAGCTCTCTCAGGTCAGATTAATGGGGTCTAAACACCGGGCAACTATTGTGCTCATTTGGGGCTAAAACAGTCAGCCATAAACCCGGGTCATCTGGTCACAAATCATCCTATAGCAGACTAAATGATTCCTAATTTACTTTTAATATATGAAATGGATCTGAACATTCACTTGTATCATTATTCTATAACCTTCTCCTAAGTGTTTAAAGCTTCAAAGCTTATATGCATCTTGTTCAAATCAGCTGTACTGTTCACCTTTCAACTATTTTAGATCCAATGAAAATTGTTTTAAATGATGAAGATGACGATCAATGTGATGACAACTTAATATTTGGTCTCCTTTATGAATTAGGTAATCTTTCTATGATCATTTTTAGCTTATTTACTGAACACTTTTTTCAAGAACTTTATTATTCCTTTTTTATCTTACTGAAAGAGAATTATCAATTCTAAATTTGTCTAAAAAGTATCTTCTATAGGATGTTAACTTCAGTGTTAACGTCAGTGATGGCACCGGAGATCTATTTTGTCGTAGTTTGGGACTACTCAGTAGTACATAGCTACGACCAAAGCAGAGGCTGAAGTCATGACTATTAGGTTTCATAATGAGAGTATTGGTATTCAGCTACTAGGTAGGAATCCAGTAATCTGCTTCTTCTGGCTTCTTCTAATTCGTGATGTAGTGTGATGGTTATCGAATGCTGTCAGGGAGTATTTCTTCTCTCCAGTTTGTAAGGATCAATATCAGTTTAAGAACTACTGAAAACGCCTTTAAAATAAACCAGATACTTATAAACCCTCAAATTTGAATAAAATATTTGACTGGTGAAGCATTTTTCTGATCTCAGATTGATCCTCAACACAAGTCAGAGATCATCTGTAAGTCAAATATGGTTCTACCCTTTCCATTGATGTTAAGAATATCAGTTCAACTAATCGAAACCATCTATAGAAACTGTAATTTATTCTTTACAGACAAAAATATATTCTGAAGAGACACAGTTTTGGAAATGAAGAAGAATGCATATCTAGTATCCCTTCAATGCTCTGTTGATATCATTGTATGATGCTAGTCACTTTTTAATCGAGGTGTGATTCAGTGGCTTAAAAACTCAACTTTAAAAATAGTGGAGAACAAACTGTAACCTCGTGTCATTCAATGAAATTCAACAAACTTGATAGGAGAGGTATAGATAACATTATTATTATTATTATTTATTACTAGTCCCTTGGGTTCCTAGTGGAACATAGGGCTTCAGTAGCACGCCTCCAGTGAACTCTGTTCTCTGAGATCTTTTGAACCTGGTCCCACGACAGCCCAGAAGCTCTCATTTCCTCCTCGCACGACCTCCTCCATGTCACCCTCGGACGTCCAACTCGTCGCTTCCCATGGGGATTCCACTCGAGGGATTGGCCTGACGCGTGATGTCCTCAGTCGGCCTTCTCAGTGCATGGCCAATCCATCTCCACTTCTTCCTGCATACTTGTTGCGTGATAGGTTCTTGGTTGGTTCGTTCCCAGAGTTCCTTGTTGCTTATTCTTTCTGGCCATCTGATCTCCAGTAGCGAGCGTAAGCAGTTGTTGATGAATGTCTGTAGTTTATTGGAAATGCCTTTCGTAACGCGCCAAGTCTCTGAACCATACAAGAGCACTGACTTGACTTAGTTGGTGTTGAAAATCCGCATCTTGTTCTGTAAGCTGAGTTGAGTGCAGAAGATCTCCACACTGATTTCAGGCTAATGAACGCCTGTCTTGCTTTTCCGATTCTGACTTTGACGTCCTCGTCCGTCCCGCCTGTAGTTGAGACAGTGCTTCCTAGATAGGTGAAGCAGGTTACTTCCTTTAAGTTTCTCCCGTTGGCGGTGATTGGAGTTTGTTGTTGTTGTTGTTGATGGTGGTGGTGCGGTATCTTCATCACTTCTGTCTATAGATAACATTACAATCAATGAATTATCACAGAAACTGTGTCTTGCATTACCAACCCTATGTATCTACATTATTTCTCATGTTGAAGGTCGTTTGTACAGTCGACCAATGAGAAAAAGTGAAGTCCAAATGCGTGGCTGTTCACTAGATGATGATCTAAACCTATTGTTTGAGGGCTGATGATAACATCTGACTGCCAAGATCTCGTTAGGTGGAGAAACCAATGAGTTACGGCTCTCTCAAGAACCGACATGATAGTCTAGTAGACTTGTTGGGTTTCACAAGAGAAATACAACTCCCTAAAGATAATTTAATGCACTAGATGCATCAAAGCAACAAGTCATGGTAAATTTCAATGAAAAAGACTTAGAAACCACCTACATACTTCATTTGTACCACTTTTTTTTGAATGTATACCTGCGCTCTCTTCTCTGAAATCTTTTGAATCTGGCTCCATGACAACACACAAGCTCTCATTTCCTCCTCGCATGATCTCCTCCATGTCACCCTAGCCTCGGACACCCAACTCGTCGCTTCCATCTGGGTTCCACTCAAGTGCCTGGCGTGGCGCGTGATGTCCCGAATGGTCTTCTCAGTGTATGCCCAATCCATCTCCACTTACTTCCAGTGCATATTTGTTGGGCGAAAGCTTTTAGTTCGTTTGTTCCCAGAGCTCCTTGTTGCTTATTCTATCTGGCCATCCATCTGATCTTCAGTATCGAGCCAGTGTAGGCAGTTGTTGATGAATACCTGTAGTTTGTTGGAAATGTCTTTCGTAACGCACCAAGTCTCTCAACCATAAAGGAGCACTGACTTGACGGTGGTGTTGAAAATTTGGATGTTGTTCCACATGCTGAGTGTGGAAGATCTCCACACTGGTTTCAGGCAAATAAACGTCTGTCTTGCTGTGTTTCCGATCCTGTCTGGCTTTGACGTCGTTGTCTGTGCATGTGTTGCCTGTAGTTGAAACAGTGTATCTTAGATAGCTGGAGGAGGCTATTTCCTTTCAGTTTCTTCCGTTTATGGTGATTCGAGCTTATTGTTGTTCTTGGTGGTGGTGTTGGTTGGGTATCTTCATTACCTTTGTCTTCTCTACATTCACTTGAAGTTCCGTCTCCCTTCCCTGCCTCACCTCATGTGTCAACTTGTTAGTTTTGCCTGTAGATCTTTGCGCGACAAGACACTAGACAGAAGTCATCACTGGCGAAATCCAAATCTTCTAGGTTCTTCTACACGGTCCAGCGTATTCCCTTCTTCTCGCTCCACATGGTTTGCTGCATGATCCAGTCCAGTTGACCACAATCAGGAATATCATGGGTGATAGTAGACAGCCTTGTTTCACTCCTGTCTTCACTTCAAAAGCATCACTGATTTTTCCATTGTGAATTACTTGGCATGTGGCGTCTTCATATAGCTAGCTGTTGAATGAGGCTGATAAAGGTTTGTGTCACTAAAACCGTAGTGTTGAAGCAGTTGCCTGCCAAATTACGTGTCGGTCGACGCCTCGATCGAAGGCCTTTTCAAAATCGATGAAGTTGAGGCAGAGTTGAGTTGACTGCCATTCTGTACTCTGTTCTATGATGATGCGTAGAGTGGCGTTGCAAGTTGGTCCACACATGATTTGTACTTCCTGAAGACAGCCTGCCTGTTCCGGTCGTAATGCAGTTGAATCCAGTGCATCTTTTAGTCTCTCCAGGATGATGCGACTTAATATTTTGCTTGCTTCGGGTAGACAGGAGGGTGATTCCTCGCCAGTGCTTGCAAACACTGAGGTCTCCCTTCTTCTGGAGTTTGACAAGGTACCCCTTCTTACAATCAACCCACAGGTACCTTCACTCCCTTCCACACCTTCAGCAATAGTGGTGTAGTGTGAGCATGTCTGCTGTTGTCTCTGCGTCTGTTTTCAGTGCTTGTGGCGGGATCCCATCTGGTCCTGCTGCTTTCCCACATTTCAGTAGGTTTATGGCACTCAGGACTTCGACTTTTGTTGGAGGATTTATGTTGACTTGTGGTTCTGTGGCTGGGCTGCAGGTGGAATTTGTGGACGAGGTGCAGGTGGTGGCGGTGGTCGATTCAACAGCTTCCTGGAGTGGTCAGCCCATCGTTTCCTTTGTTTCTCTTCTTCCATAATTAGATTTCCTTCATCATCTTTTATTGGTTTCACCTGCGTTGATCTCTTCCCAGATAGCAACCAGGTTATTTGATGCAATGTTGTCAGGTCTTTGTCTGTCTCTCCTACCAGCCAGCCGGTAGCCTGTTCTGCTTCACTTGCCAGTGTTTCGTAGAAGTGTCTTTTGTCTTTGCGTGCACTCTTCTTCACTTCCTTGTCCAGTGTAGTGTTTTACACGTTGTACTCAGTTCCTCTTCTCGTTGCGCATCCTTGCACTGCACTGGTTTATCTTCTGCTTCACCATCACCATCCTCCTCTCCCCGCTCTATCAGCTTCCATGTATCCATCAAGATCCATTCCATTCCATTCCACTCCTTATCTTCTTTCTCCTTCCTTCCTAATACGGTTATGCAGGTTTCTTTTCACATCTCTTTCAAAGACTTCCAGTGTTCTTCCACACAGGTTTCTTCATGGATGTTGTTCCATATCTCCCATTTTGTCTTGATGGCTGGTTGACGTGAAGATTTCCTTTGTAGTTTCGCCCTTCACTTTCTGAGTGTTGTAATTCAACTGTGGTCTATCACCAGCTTCCTTGAAGGCTTTCAACTTTATTTGGAAGGTTGCTTGCACTAGACAGTGAATGGTCTGAGCCTACATATGCTCCTTCCTCTTCTTGACCTTGTGTCAAGTAGGCTGGCTGCGTCTCCACTTTCTTCACATTGAGATGAAGTCGATTTGATTTTTAGTGTTGTGTGTCCTGGTGTCTGGTGAAATCCATGTCACCCGCTTTGTGGATATCCTTGTGCTTGAACACACTGCCTGACTCCAATCATCAAATTGTTGAATGGACAGAATTCTGCAAACAATTCTCCATTCTCGTTCATCACCTCACCGAGCGCTTCTCCACCAATGGTTAGTTCTCCTCCTGTGTTGTCCCCTCCCAGTTTGGCATTAAAACATGTCGCCCATTAGAATTTTGATATCGCCAACTGGGTGGAGTCTTGTCGAGTGTTGATTGCAGTTGTCTGTAAAATTCCTCCTTCTTATTTTCATCTGCATTATCTGTAGGTGCGTAGCGTAGCATTGTATGATTGTGACTTTCCTTCCTTTTGAGTTGAATCTTGCTGTCATGATGCTGATCGTGGAGGAGGAGGAGATTTGTTCCCACTACATGAGAGTGAGCCTTCGATGCTCTTCAAGGGGACATCATGATAGCCACTCGAGAACTCAGTGTGCTTGTGGTTGTCGTGTGGGTGACAATATTGGAGTAGATTATTGATTCTCCAGTTGACAGTTTGGAGAGTCCACTCCCATTCCATCTGCTTTCGCAAATTCCAAGCACTTCTATACCATACGTTCTGATCTCTTTTGCAATCTGGACTGCCTTACTGGGTTCAAACATGGTGCGGACATTCCATGTCCCCACGTTTACTTTCACTTTCATCGAGGGAGAGAAGACAGTGGCCAATTGGCTTCTTGAAGGCTTTCACCAACTGGCATCATTTCGCCTCTCCAATTCCAGTGAGGAATAATTTTGTTATTATTATTTTTTTATATTTCGTTTGTGCTTTGAAGTTTCTTTAGTGGTTGGATTTGTTTTACGGGGTAGTGTTGCTAGCCGTATGCCCAACCTTTCGTCTTTACCGGGGATTAGGACGAGCTAGTAACTAGTGAACTAGTTAACCAGGCGAGGTTGGAGGTCAAATAAGTGGTAGTTAATTGGATAAAAAGATAGCACAGTTGTTGGATGTTTCTTTGTTTCATAGATCTGTTCAACTAGTTATGATTTGCATTGACCTACATAATTACCGATTGTGTAAAACTTCTTAAACATTCCAATCCATACTTTTTTGTGAATATTTTGTTTTTAGCTAATAGGTTAAGCGATGATGAGGATGATGATGAAAGAAAGTGTGCTGGTGATATTCTAGATAGTAAAAATGTCCAACTTTCAGAAGAAGGTGACAGTGTTACATCAGGTGAGTGAGTTGATCTTTTGGGTTTTCGATTGAGATGCATTCTGCCAAGGATAGTTCTATCCCGATGTGTAGTTCATCCTATGAGTGCATAATCATATCGCTTCTCACTATCGAACTCAGTATCCCTATTCTTTACTAGCTGCTATTTCCAGTTGGTAGATACAGCCAAATCTTCTAAAAAATCACCAACAATCCTAACTACTTCCATCTGGATGAAGGTTAATGATCCTGAAGAACCTACTCCTTGGAGGTCAACTCATTAGTATTGCCCTCTATAAATCCAAAATGAAATCTAAACTAGAATGTTGATACATCGTGATGACTATTCAAAACACTGAGAATTTAGGTCATAACTTCCAATGTTTCTTGATTTGCCTTCTACATGATATGAGATAAGTCCCGGGTTGGCGAAAATATCATAGTGACCTGCTCGAATTTTTAGGATAACAAAATCTTTTGACTGAATATATTGCATCGAATTGTTCCCTTTCGGTTGATTTTAATCTTTAAAATGTGTCATCTTTGCGTATTTTGTATTGCTGGAAAATTTTAAAATGCTTTCAACCAAGCGTTTTTCTAGGTGAACAACACAAAATGCGGTTTTCATCACCATTATTATTATGACTATTATGTAACTTAGACTGATCCGGTCACTTTAAATTGTCAGTCTGACTTCAGCATTTGCCAAATAAAACCAAGATAATCACATGATTAGATATGATCACTATTTCTGGACGTTTTTAGCGTGTTCATTCTTGGCCTATGGCACCTTAGTTCAGTGTTTATTATTCTTTTATATTTTTATTTATGCTACTTGCTATAAGTAAGTAGTAAAAATCACTTTCACGCAATATTGCTTCGTCCACAACATTTGTTCAGTTGCCTTGAAATTGTATTTCATTCATCCTTTTAACACTTGATAATATTGCCATTACTTCTATCGGTTGTTTCTTTGTTGCTATATATTCTCCCTTGAACATTTTTTTATCACAAGTCTTTCACTTGCCTATATGAATCCACGAGTTTTCAACATTTTCGGTCAATGTTTACTTCGAATACAACTCTGAAATTCACTTTTGTTGAAATATTTCCTGTAATCTGCTTTCAGCATCGTGTTTCTGAATGTTAGCTGTCATTCGAGTGTCTGATCATTCGTCGAAAAATCGATTAATCTTTTTAGTCTAGAATTTCTGAAATAAAATTAAACATTAGGTACTGGATGAAGACTGTGGGCTTAATGCTATGTAATCCAGCAGAGGACGTTGGATCATGAGTCATGTGTTTCTTCTAAGATTTGGGCGTAACAATCTACATATCAAATGAATTGACACAATATCTCCAATTTCCGTTTGTTGTGGTGTCAGTAACCTCATTTACTTGATTAGTTAATGATAATAATTACAATAAATTTTCTCATAAGCATCATCTACCCTTATTGTAAGTACCCAGCTGATATTATTGATGTGGGTGCTAGCCTCCCTGTCGGTGATTTTCATCCCATCGTGACTGAAACCTAGGCTTAGTAGATAACGCTCTGGAGTTTGAAGCGATTAGTTCTGAGTTTGTGTTTCAGTGGGAACAACATCACCCACTGGGAAGCAGGTGCATTCAGCTGAGTCCCTAATAGGTCTTTGGCTAGCCACTATTTATCATTGGTGGTATCAAGACTAAAAATACCGATAATATCAAGGCACCCGTACAGCAGCCAAGATATCAATAATTGCCAATCAGTACGATCCGATCACTGATGGGCTTTTTACAAATTGACACCAAAATCTATCTGGTCCATAGAATATCTTGGAAGAATTTGACCATCGAGTTTGATGTAATCACTAGAAAAGTAGATTTTGATTTAATCTCAGGGTGTTTAAAAGATCAAAACGAGGCTTTCTGAGCAGTTTACTGGGTTATTATTTACTTCTTGGTGAAATGTTGAAAATATTTTATTTCAGACACTGAGATTTGAAAACAGCGAGTGCAATAAAAGGTGGTAGATAGAAACCGGATTCACTTCATTTTCGTGGTATCTTGTCTACTGCTTATGACGCCTAGAATATCACTTTGATTATCTGAGACAACTGTAGTTTGATAGATCAGTGTTTATTGTTGGTAACGATTGAAGGTGAGTAATCAGACTTCGTAGGTCAATTGGTGGAACATCGATCTAGTGACTCGATGATCGCTGGTTCGAATCCGTCCGCGGTTCAAATTTTCATTTCACCTACAATCGATACTGAGTATGAATGGTTTTGCTGACAAGTTAACACACTTTGTTTTACTAAAAGAAAACGGAATATCAATTATGGGTTAAGATGGACAGAAATCGTCATAGGGTAATGGTCAATGAAAAACGTAGCAAATTGTCACAGTTACACATATAATCAAACAGTAATAACATAAGTAACAATCCGAACAGAGCGACTTAGTATTATACGATTAAATAAGTAGGTCACAGGATAAAGAAGCGAAACATGCAAGGTATTGCGAGTAAAGCTGAGTTAGAAACTATTCGATATGAAGAAAATATGATGCGACTAAACAAGAGTGAATAAATAAACACCTAAAGCTGATAAAGGATGATGTGACCAAATAGAAGTCAAGAAAGATTACCAAGGTAATCAATAATTGACCATTGTCTCTTTCTCAAATGATAAATCAGGTTTTATGAGTCTAATGACTATGGCTGCAGCAAACAAATGTCAGTATAACTGAGCTCGTCTGTTTGTTTATTATCTTGAAGCAGTTGAAGACACCTCCTTGAATTCTGTTGTTATTGAGATATTGAGTAATCGAACTATTCAAAATGTTACCTCCCCCTCAGTTATCGGATCTTTAGTATGTGTTTGGAACATCTAAGATAAGCCCTTCCTTATGTTCTTCTAGTGTATCTGCTTTGGGAGCTACACGTTAATTGATATGCTCAGTTTAAGGCAAAATAAGAAGGGTACATGTCGATTTTTGACTGAACTAAATACCACATTGTCTGACACACAGAAATTAACTTGGCTGTAGAGAAACTTTTACCTTGTGACTTCTAAAACGGTTCTTATTTTCTATATCCTGACTGAAACCACTAATTGGAAATCATAGAGGAGATAAACACCAGAGGATTATTTCCCTCTTACTTCACTTATAAGTCTGGAGCACTAAAACGTTCACCTTTCATAGTAGACGACTATTTTTACTCACTGAAGTGGATGATGTCTTGAAACAAAGCTCTTCGAACACTTAAGCATTTGTGTCACTTTCACTGGTGGATAAAGATAGAATCCGTATCCCAGGATCACATGTGTATTTGTGTGTTATATTGTTGCTTAATGAGCAGTACTCAATTTAGATTGAGATCGATTGGGATTTTATCTTTAAGGCAGTATGCATCACGGACTGACATCAATTGGAGAACCACAGGAAACCTGGAGGCGCTTGTCAGTTGTTTCGTCCCATCACGGGACTTCTCAGTAATACGTACCCATGACCCAGCTGTGTTGAATACTACCTTGAAAATAATATCCGCATGAATGTCAAACTACATTAGTAAATTACGCTCATTTGCAACCTGCTTCCAGATGGATAACCTGATCTTTTAATGAGAAGGGATGATTTGTGGGGTTGGAAGTGAAGCGGATACTAAATGAGGACTTTGGTCTATAGTCACGCTATATCGTGAATTGACAGAAGTAGGAAACTGTGGACCATGAAACTCTGGGCCAGTGGCTGAATAGCTAAAACGTTTTTTCTGTAAACCGGAAGGTCCCGAATTCGGTTCTGTGAGAGCAGGATGTTTGGTGAGTATTACTGAGAAGTCCTACACAGGGACGAAATGGCTACCTAGTGCTTCCAGGTTTTCAACGTTCCTCCAACTGATCTCACTTCGTGAATAATAATAAAATGCTCACGTTATTGAACCACATAAGAAGTATTCGACAGTGAGTCAGTTAACCGCACAACATGTATATAAACTCTTCAATAATATGTAAATTTTAATTAATTTAGTGTAATGAATTTGCATCCTAACGTTTTTTTGAAAGAAGTTGACATATATGCACCGTCATCACCGACATGTGTTGAGAGAATGATTCAATCCCCCGTGAAGAAAATCATCTGCTCTGAATCATCGTCGTTATCGTCTTCTTCATCATCCTCATCATCATCATCATCACTAAATACTCCTTGTCCAAGATCCCCATTACCTGAAATGATAAAAATGCCAACGGAAATGACAACAATAACGACCACTACCTCACACACGTTAACAAAAAGTCCAGTTAGTTCAAACTACGAAACAGAATCAAAAAATCAATCAACCAATGAGGAACGATCTATCCAGTTAGAAGATAAGGTTGAAGTAACTTCACATGACTGGATAAATAAATCAGAGGATAGAACTGAAGTTCTCATTGAAAATACTACTGATACTTCTGAGGATATGAGTAGCATCGAGATATCAAAGAGTGATTCACAAGAAAATCCCACTTCTTTAGTTATTATCAGTAAAAATGTTCATCAACATTTGAGTAAGTTAACTATTTATTTTTACAAATTCTTATTCAAAACAGAAAATATTCAAATCTACTCGTATTTTAGGGTTAGGGTTAGCTTACTCTTCGTGTTTCTTGACTATATACTCAATATGCATTATACAACTTGTCAACACAAGTAGCCTAGGTGAAACTGACTGTTTATAGAATTTTCATTCATAACATAGACACTCTTTTGCATGCAGTTATACAGTAAGAGAATATAACAGATTTGTAGCATAATTGTTAGTGGTTATTTGATTTCCAGACATTGACCAGCAGCTTTGATTGGTTGTCTTAACTCTTCATCACTTGTAACGCCTTCATTTCAATTGGTTAGATATTTTTTAACTAGATGATGTGAACACATATTATTGGTCAGGAATAATAATGCAAATAAAATGAACCAATCACGAAAGGAATTTTCACTGTATTCTTTTCGAATCCAACTAGGTAAGGAGTCGAAATAAATTACACTGATTGAAACAAAATCCAGCTCTCAACTTAAGCTAATAGGATTACACAACGGAAGTATTATTATTATTTGTCCCTTGGGTTCTTAGTGGAGCATAGGGCTTCACCATTTCACTCTCTTCTATCCAGTCGTTTCAACCTGGCTTCACGACTGCCCACAAGCTTTCATTTCTTCCTCATACCACTTCAAACATGTCAACCTCGCACGCTCAACTCGTCATTTCCAACTTGAATTCCACTCGAGGACATGACGATATCCTCAAACCGTCTTCTCAGTGTACGTCCAATCCAATCCATCTATAATTTCTTCTTCCGCATATTTGTTGGGAAATAGGTTCTTGGTTTGTTGGTTTGTTTCCAGCCAGAGTTCCTTGGTGCTTATTCTTTCTGGCAATCCATCTGATCTCCACCTCACTATCGAGTGAACTTAGGCGGCATATGTTCATGTATGTCTGTAGTTTGTTGGGAATACTTTTCATGATGCACCAATTCTGTCAACCCTCACACGGAAGCAGTGACTTGATAAAGTTAGTGTTGAAAATCCGTATGTTGTTCACGCTTTATGCTGAGTTCAGTGGAGGATCAGGATCCTCGAAAGTAGCCGAAGACTTGATGAAGGCTTGGCACTCAAGTGAATTGGCAGGAAATCTCCACCCCAACAAACGTAATATGCCAGTCCATGCAAAGCAAATCAATCACTGTAATCAGTCGATCCAAATGCACAGAAACCATCGAGGCAAATAAAAAGGGGATGATCAGTCGATTAGGTCAAGATAATCAATGTACAAATAACTAACATTCTTTACTTAAACAACCAGTATAGTAAGGTCTTTCTTTGATGTAATCTAAATAGCCAGCAGTAACAAAGAACACTCTTCCAATTGAATCAAATCAACCAATCAGCGTACAGTATCACCTATCCAATATACAGTAGTCAACCAGTCGGATCTGGATAACCCTCATCACTTCATTGAAACAAAAGGGGTTAATAAATCAATGCGGACCGACCTCAATGCACTTCAGGCAAGCAAAAGAACTCAACTAACCACATACTTTCACAGCTCTGTAAGAAAACTAAAGGCCAGAAGTCAACCACTCAAATTCACCATATGTCCTTGAATCTATCAGGCAACCAATCAGATGTCACTCAAGCTAAGTAATATGTTCAACTAATTAATTCCTTTCCCACTGAAGTTTTGATGCACTGATAACGATGTCTAACATGACACTGAAACGTATGTCAATTGAAACACCAGCCCAGAGAACAATTTACTGTGAATACCACAGGGTTTCATTTATGTGCTTCAACACCACTAAGCATAGAATGATGATTACTAGGTCCCAGTAATAGTGATGTTCAAAATCTCAAACGTTTAGAACAAAGGTATGCAGTTTGTTGTCTGAGCGGATTATAACCAGAATAATAGAAATAATAATGATTAAAATCTTTAGATCTGTTGCTTCTGTGAAAGAAAATCACAAAATCAGTTGGAAGGGAGGGGGCAACAAAAACCAGTTAGGTAATCTCTGTAAATAATTTACAGGTGAAATTATTAGCTCACTCCTCAAATGACGGAGAGTAGACCATAAGCCTAATCACTCAGAAAGATAAAGACAGACAATCAGAATGAATATCATACATACTAAAGGCGATAGTCCAACAAATTATCCATCAAATTGGAGCGAGTAAATAGGTGAAAGGATCGAATTAACACATACTGCCTCAGTGGGCTTCGAAGATTGACACCAGAAAGGTAGACAGATATAACATATTCAACAGACGTGAACTGAATACAGACTAGCTACCAGGGAGGTGAAAAGAAACGCATTACTGGGAAAAAAAAATACAAAGTACTTTCGAAATAACAGTGTCTTAAGCCACTGAACCAAATGGTCTTTCACAGCCTTCACTAAAAGTCTTGATACGTCAGTAGAAAGTAACAATCCTGCAATTTACAATATAAGAAAAACATTGGTAGGTTGTCTTAAGAATGTTTTTAGGGATGATCAAGTCATCAATTTGTAACAGGTTGTATTGCTGGTTATTCGCCTGTTTTACGTATCACAACACATTAGTGATTGGTTTTTCTGGTAGCTGTTGTTATAATTCGAAAATTGCTATTTCTTCTGACCGCTAATGATGCACGTATATCAAGTGTCAACCACCAAAGTTCAACAAATTCCCAGGTGACTCCCTATCCGGCTAATTAATGGAGAAGACATGATGCTTGTGTAGAAACGTTTATTGGGGTTGAAAAGTCGAAGACCAAAACAAAGGAAAAAATAATCCTATTGAATGACTGATCCACCGTCTATCTGTCTAACTGTCGAAGTGATAACATAAAGTCATCTATCTCTGTCCCCATATCACCTCCCTCTTCGAAAGAATGTTGTTTGAAGTCAGACTGGCTCAAACTGTTTTCTTCTTGACCTTGTTTCCCATAGGGTCAGTAGTCTTCTTGATATTCTTTCGGTGGATAGGTGCATGAGCATGAAAATCAACTATCAAACCAAGAGATTTACCTACCGATCAAGAATGAGATCTGCAGAGATATCCAGAGGATGATCTGTACACACGTCGTTGTGTGTGTTGGGCGTAAAACCCGTCCTCATGGCCTGCAGCATTACATTCCAGGTGTAGATGTTGTTTAAGTGGACAAGATTTGACCAAATGCCAGTAACGCAATAGGGGTGTCTTCTTCGAGGGCCAGTTTGTATCGAACGAGTTACTGGGCCCATGTGGCCAGAGGGTAATGTGGAGAAATGAGATATCCAGCGAACTGTATGTACATCACAACCACCCTGGCATCCGGATCGGGTTAAACTTGTTTCACGCTGCAGGTTGCCCACTCGCTGATATTCTACAGACATGGATTCAGTTTCTGGACTGTGGTGTCCAAATTGCAATCACTTAGGTTCTGCGGCGAAATGATGTTGCAGTACTGTTCGAGCTGAGGTGGAATAGGCTTTCTCAGTTGGAGACGTACCTTCTAGGAATTATCTTGACCAGTAAAATCCACTTTGAAGTAGTTTTTGTAACTCCTGAAGCAACTGTCGAAAGTCTGATTGGGATCACGATCATAGTGAAATGCAGTGATGGTATTGGCGGTGCCATCAACTGAAGGAGCTATTGAAACTGGCGTAGTAGGCGATGATTCAGTAAGAGAAATTCTGAATTGTGTAATTATCTCGATTATCCTCATTTGTTGTTCGAGGGTATTGTCCAACTTCGAGGAATCTGCTTCCCAATATCCTATCCCCGTTGCCACTGTTATGTTTTGCAAACTGCTGTGTCATGGCCGCTAACGATCCACAGATATCGAGTGTCAGCCGCCAACGTTCAACAACTTCTTAGTCTATTTCCGACCCGACTCAATCGTGGAGAAGACACGATGAACATGTATCGGGGCCAAAACAAGGGGAAATATATCTAATATATAGACAGTTTGCTCTTTAAAATAAGGATACTGATTGGCTGATCCACCGTCTGTCTGTCTGTCTATCTATCTAACTATCGAAGTGATAACATAAAGTACGTTTTGATTGGTCCCTCTCTAGACTAGTCATCTCTCTTCATCCTCATAGCTGCTTAACAAACTGACAGACGTTGACTTGGACATGACTCATGACTCATTTATTATGTTCATCCAGTTCTCAATCAAAACGAGTAAACATAGGACGGAGAAATGACTGTTAGTCAGGACGGTCATTTGTAAACAACCAGTCCAAATCTCAGTGGATCAACTCATGGTTTCATTCATTCAGCTGTTTTTAGCCTATTCCATTTTAGAGCAAAGTTATAGAATTTCACCTTGGTTCGTCTCATTAATTGAGAGTCAGTCTATCAGTGTACTCAAAGTGTAACAAGTTCAGTGAAGGGAAACCTTAAACGATTCCGTATAAAGTTCAATGGGCTATGCTTAAATGCCTACCAACCGGTAATCATTTAGAAATGATTGTCATGCTGTTTATTCCCACGTAACAACGTGGGGCGGGGGGGGGGGGTAACAAGCTTACATCTTTGAGAAAGAATCGATTCACTCACTGATGAATTTCCATAAGCATGGAAGCGGCTGGAACGACATACGTAATATATGTCCAAACCACCGAACCCGCTGTTACCAGATGACTTTACTTATTGAATGAAGATCTCCGTCGTGTCCAAACACACACTATCATACCTCAGAATCACTTACATGGTGTTACCAGTGGATACGAGCAATCCTAAGAAAAAAAAACGCAGATCGAACACATAGAATAGTAGCACGACCTCAGCTGGAACAGGCCAGGTTTCACAGGTGTAGAGAAAAAATGCTAGCATTAAAGCCTTGTAAACCCTACCTTTTACGGTCACACTAACGCCCCGGTGACCCCAAAGGTGGTCTAGACTGATGTAAAAGAACAAAAAACATAATAGTAATAAATTGAGTAATCGATTGAGAAGTTCTCAGTGCGAAGAGCTTGAGTATTTGCAGACCGTAGCAGGTGATTGTCTTTGCGGACCACTTCCAGAGCCTTTGACTTAAAGTCTAATCCACAGGGCAATGCAGCAACATCAAGAGCCGCAATCCCATGGTTGCGGGTGACCGAGATACATCCATACGCTCATTTGTTTTATCTGGAACGTGGAGCCTACTATCAACATTGTTTTGGAATCACGGTTTACTAACTCCCATAGGTGGGCCCTCAGTATCCACCAGTCCAGTGATAAGCGCTGGATATTCGCCTGCTCACTGTCACATCTGTAAAAATACCCCCGCTATGTGAAGGCAGTGAATAGGACTTCTCTGGGGAAGCTGTGAATGCGTACCAGGGTGATTTAAGTGATATAACTTACATTTTGTTTTTCTCATGTTTCCTATTGACTCAATTGCTGCTTTTCATAAATTTTCATTGAAATAGTTCGACGAGTCCATGTGTGACCAGACCGTTTAAAGTATATAACGCTAATACATCACATTTTTTCAGATAATCTTTGTCTTCTCATTACGCTATTTAAAAAAGTTCCTTTAGCCAAATTTGTGAATTGAGATACCACTGATAAATTAAATGCAATTTACATGGTATGGTCTGTTTTGCTCATGTAGTTAAGATTAGAGTTAGGCAGGAATGAGGAATTTCAACGTAAAATGAGTTGATCGGATGGAAATAGTGTTTAGAAGCATGTTGTCAAGGTGATGAAAAGTTAACAGTCGTCTCCTTTCAAACATGGCTCTAATTTGATACACGTGATGTTAATAAGTCGCCTACTGGATGTCCTGTATCTTTAAATAACTCATAAGTGTACAGCTAAAGTTATTCTTAAGTAATAGAACCCTCAGAAGACGTTCTTTTCCTTCATTGTTCGAATTTTCTATTTTGCTATAACCATCGCACTCTTTACGCTTTAAGAATTATACTACTTAATATTCATCAGTAGTATCGTATTTTTTCTTAAGATCATTTCATCCGCAGATACGATTATTCGGTGGAATCTTTCAGAGATCGTGATTTCCTTTTGTCCACTCCACACTTTTCACTGATACTCTATTTTCCCCCTTGAACACTTATTTATCGCAAGTCTTTTACTGCATTCACTCCGTGATTCCACGAGTTTTCGACATTTTTGACTATCGTTTCCAGTGAACACAGTTTTATTTACACCTAACAATTCGAAGTTTGTAGCTTCTCATCGAGTATCGTTATAGATCAGGCAAACCCTCTGTTTTGGATGCTACCTTTTAGTCGAGTGTCTGACTTATTTGTCAAAGAATCAGCTAACCGTCTTGTCGTCACGGAGTCGACCTTATTTCTATCTTTCTAATGTAGTCTTGATATGCAAACAAAATACTAACTTATTCATAGAATTGAAGGTAGCTAATTAGACGAGTGAAATTCCTCCTAACCCGATTACTGTGTCTACGTTTATAGGTGTACGTATTGTGAAAAGGAAATGCTTACTTCAGCAGTTGTTGCTTGCTTACATTTATTGTATTTCCCTTCGAAACACCTGCTTCAATCTGAGATTGCTCCGTACCGTTGGATTTTAATGATGCTGTGATCCCGTTAGCAACTAACAGTGGAATCCAAGTTGACGTGGGTTCCCTCCTACTTGGGACTGGCGCGTCAGTTGGATGTCCCAGTAACCCAGTGACTAGTGTTGTTTTCCCACTGAGACATCGCTTCAGCATTTGAAGCCGTTGGTCCAGGGTTAGAGTCTCAGGGGGAAAAAGCATCTATGATTGGGGTGTAGGTACCTCCAACCTACGATCGAGTCCCAAACAGGATGAATCACGTGGCCTGGATCCCACTGCTAACAACTGAATGGACGTCCAGCAAATTCGTCTTACTGTTTAGCCCAGTGAATGGACCATAATTGTTTACTGATTAGATTCATTGGTTGGGCTATTGCATCTTCTATGGTCCACACCTCTAAAAATGTGAGGTTGATTAACTCTGTTTGAATTCATTACTTAAATCCATCTGGTTTGGAAGTATTTATTATTTAAGATATTTTCACTGAAAATCATCTTCCTGTACTGTATTTCATATAGTAAGTAGGTTTTCTCTAACTATAATAGTAGATGACAAATGTGCTCATAGCCAAATTGCATGAATACTGAATATTTTTTATATGATTAGTCTATGTTCAATGTTTCAATAGATCATTCTTTTCAATTCTCACTTCCTAATGTTCCATTCAGATTTACAACAATCACTGACTGAAGAAAAAACTTCAGATATTAATGATCAACACTCTTCATCAATAACACCATCATTACCTTCTGACTACCTGAATACAACTATGATGATGGATTTGAATAAGTCATCTGTACCATTCATAGACTCACATGATGATAATAACTTAGAAAATGTATCCAATTCAATTTTCAAACAATCAGAATGCGAACTGGATATGATGAACAATTCAGACTCAAAACTTATGTCATTCAATGAAAGTATAATTGAACTAGAAACTTTCTCCATTTATCCACCAACTGATCAAGTCAATGATGAATATAACACTTTAGAGAACAATGTTGGCAAAATGATATTTCTCAGTACTTCATAAATTCATTGTGTTTCCCCTAGCATGGATCATTATATCATTCTTGCATAAAATGATGAATAGAATTCAGATTTTATTAGGTGAGTAATGATAATGTACCATATGACATACTGAAACAACCAATCAGGTTTAGTTACTCCTTCTGGGATGATGGTCCATTCCATGAAATTCAAGACTCCAATTGGTTATTTCCATGAGTGTATCAGAAAGCCATCATGATGACAACTGTAACAACCAATCAGACTTCTCCATTTTATAGAAATCAGCCTTTCCAGCAGAAATAGAGAAAACTGATTGGTAGAATCACTCAATTAAACGCTGTCACGCGATTATAACAGTCTGAATGAAGATGTGTTTCACTCTACCCTTTCTTTACGTCCTAGATGAGTTATTTCCAAGTATAGCATCTTACGTCCTCGAGTGAATACGAATGACCTTGAAGAGACCAATCACGTTAAAGGTGACTGTTAGGTCGTTCTGGGAAGGTACGATTTATTTTATTGAAAGCATGCCGTTGTCTACCGATCGGGCTATTTAGAACTTCGATGATAATTTCTGTTGAATCAAAAAGAAATATCCTTCGTATGACCTTCCCACAGTATCTGGCGATTCTGTGGGGTCGGCCATCTGCCTGTATTTCCCAAGAAGGACAAAGTTATGCACAAGAATTTCACGGCGAAGTCTTACGACAACCTCCATTTTAACTCTCTAAACACTGTTATTGAGTTTCTTGTATGTTTGCAGTACTCGTCAGATTTTAAGGAGTTAAATGAAGCACTTTCCCCTTGGTAAGTTCAAGGTCATTTGTAGGTCATTCAAGGAAGACAAGAATCTATACTTCCATCGAAGATAGGTGGTAGTTATACGGCTGTTGTATTTACATAGCTGAATAACATGCCCATAGCATATAATAAATAAAAAATTTACAACAAGGTTATTTAGGTTATGATATTGGAGGGAATAGGCGACTGTCAGGTGATGAATATTTCCAAGGGATTTGACATGAAACAACAATTAACTTTTAAGAAAAACGCTTGAATAAATGGTTACGAAATAATGCTACAAGATGACTTCCAGGTAAGTTTTCTTCAAAAATAAATAAACTAATTGGCTAAAGTATGTTTGAATGGAGTTTACATCTGTTTTGTTTTTTTTCATGCGTCATAACAGTAGACTTTTTTCATTGTTTGATGCCGTTTTCTTTGAAATTTTGCTTCATCACAAGTCATAAATCTTATTTATCTGGCAGTGTAATCAGTTTTCTATCAGTAAGTCATTGCTTGACTTCGAATTTCTGCTGAATGAGGTTTATGGATATGCCGTATTCGTACACATACTCCCGAGAGACTCAAATTTGCATTATTTACTGATGAAAATCAAAGATGTTACCTCAAAACTTATGTGATGCATTTGTTGGAAGATTGTATAATCACTTTCTAATGCCGATGATAGATATTTCTTTGCAGTATAAACTGCTTGACAAGCTGCATCATCGCAGACTGGGCAGTTGTGCATGAAACCTTAGCTAGAATACAGAAGGGCTGTTAGTCATTTGCCAAATTGCGTTGTCGCTAGCGCCGACTAAAGAGATATCCGATTACCTATCAAAGAGCAAGTATACTGCGCTGCAATCTTGTTATACAGTTGTAAGACATGGCCGTTAGAAGAAAACATGAACCGTGTGAGCAATGTTGACGTCAGGTGAAGGGTACTAGGTAAGACAGGCAAATCAATTTTTGACGTTATGAACCTTATTCGACTGAGATGGCTTGGACATGAACTGCTCATGCTGAGCCACCACCTATCTGGACGTGCCATGCATGCCTGGGGGTAGTTAAATTAGGTTGGAAGAGGGTTGAGGGTGGTCAGACCAAGACATGGCACAGGTCAATGAAATTCCTGAGTATTGGTGTGAGCCATGTAGGGGTCCCTGAGAAGAAAGGAGTCATTGGTTGTTTATTCTCTCACAGAAACTTTATCGACTTCGATGAGTCTTTTTCTATCCAGTTGTTCTCTGTATACTCCTGTGGAGTGTGGCAATTTGAGCCGATTCATTTGTGTATGAGGTCATATGTTGATTTCGTCTATCTGTTTATCTGTCCGTACAAACTTCAGTATATCATTATAATTTCCCGAATGTTCATGAGAAGTCACTGTTACTTCTCTTACTGTCTTATACTTCACCGAGTTCAAAAAATTCTGCTCAATAAAGGCTATCATAAGACTTTTATTTTGCAAAAATGAATCATGCATATCCTTTTTGGATACATATAAAAGTAACTTGCTGATTCTGATTGGCTAACGTAAAAGTCAAATTATCCAATAAGATTATCTTGAACTTCATCGATGAAAAACTAAAGCTCAAGGACTTCTCCCTTATTGGTTAATAACTGAGAATGTTGATTTTTGTTTCAGCCTTTTTCTGACAGCTATCTTTGCTGTGGATGTGGTAATTTCTTTACTCTAAAAAACCGCCAGTTTGGAATTGGAGTTTCACATAAATCAATGAGATCACTACAGTATGTTCAGCAAACCAAAGATCGTTCACAACACTATTTTGGCTAGTCTAACCATCGGATTGGACAAATAGTTTATTAACACTAACAAGCAACCTCTTTGACCTCAACAAACACAGTCGACTGGAAGTATATGAAAATGCTCCATAGAGCTCCAGGTTTAAAAGCTTCAAGTGAATTTTCAAAAGACTAGCATTCTAACGAAAGGTCAATCAATAAAAATGTGTAAGTAGACGGAATCTACAATTCATTTGAGAAGTAAACAGCCATCTATCAATCAAGGACCAATGGACCAAACAAATCAATAATGATGCACAATACAACCTTAACGAATAGCACGCTTCCACTTCCCGAATATGACCGAAGGAAATTTATAATCAATTTACAATTGGACAATATCCAAGGTCAATAAAATCAAAGTCTAACCATACGTGTAACACATTCGAATCTGTTTCATTTCCTTATGAAGTCTTTGCTAAGGATATCAGCATACCTCGTGATGAAACTTTCACGATAAAATATTATCATCTTCAGCTACAACGATTTTCCACTGTTTCTAACAGTTTTTCTCTCATAAAAAGAGTTTTAAACCTCAGTCCAGTCAGATGACATATAAAAGTAAACTTAAAATATAATTTATATGAAGTCAGGTAATATGATTCTAAGATACGTTAGGAGTGTGATAAAACTACCTACAACTGAAGTAATGAAAGATCCTGAGGTTCTCTGCCTTCAACAAAGATGTCTTATTCACGTAGAGTAAGATAGACTATGAAGATGAGTAGTACATTCAGACTTTGATAGACAATGAATACAACCATTTATTTAAGCGAAATTTCATAAAGCAGTCGGATATGACTCGTTTATTTACTTTTCTTACCTTACAGATCTCTGGAAGTTATTTCAAGTTGATTATTTATTCAAGGATGTCTTCAATATGGAAAAGATCAGTATTTTCTAACAAGATTCACAATAACTTGTTCTCCTTTCCTTCCTTTTCTGTTTTCACTACTTTTTCTTGAAATACTGACCATCTTAATATATTTTTTTCTGCTTTGAGAAAAACTTGAAAGAGAAATCTCTTAGATACAACTGAACTTATTTCATTGTTATGTAGCGTAAACTATAAGAAAACAATGAAATATTTATTCATGAATAAGAACAATGCATATATCAGAGAAGAGAAAATATTTCTTTTCAACGACTTTATTATCACAAGCTGTACAGTCGTATTTATACTCGCTTAAATGGCAGGTAATTCTATTAAAAAGGGAGTTGCTCAGTCAATATGCAAAATATACAATCGGTGTAGGTGATGGTATTTGTTTAAGTGGAAGAGATAGAAAATTGGTCATTGAAAAAGGAGGGGTGAATTGATAACAAATGGTGGTGAGATAAGAGACACATACTGTCTAAGAATTGTAGAACGGTGATAATTTAACTGAAACATCCAAAACGAGTCAATGAATAAGGAATGAATTGATATTAAATGGTGAAATATGGGTCAAATATTGTCAATGAAGTGAAAAATGGTGATAATGATGATGACGATAATAAAAGGGAAGTATACCAAAGTGAAGTGAAATGAAATTGACAAAATAAACAGAATGAATTGTTAAGGCCAAGGTAGAGAAAGTGGTTTCACAAAACATTTCTGAATGAGAAGTTTCGGTTTTTGTTCATGTATAGCTAATGCTTCAGCTATGCATAAGTGGTGGAAACGTAGACCTTTGGGATAGTTTAAAGGATGAATCTCGAGGTGCTGAATGTCCCAATTCAACAAGGTGTTCACATGTGGATGAAGTCGTTTTCCTTTGTTCGCCTCTGGTAAGCCAAACCGGGTAGTGTTCAGCAACACGTTTTCAGAGGACCCACTTACAACGTCCAATATAGTCAGCCCCACAGGAGCATTTGGACTTGTAGATACACATAGATGTGGACATAAGTGGGAAGCCTATCCTTCACGCATTGACGAATCAGACAGTGGTTGGAGAATATCAGTCTCAGTCTAGCAGCATAGAAGTTACTATTGATACATCTTGACAGATGATTTTTCAGGACTTTGGCTGTGGTGTCTCGTTTGAATTCTAGATTCATGGTTAAGATTTTCTTAGGAAGTGTAGTGGGATGGGGAGTGGTTCGTTTCTTCAGATTCTTGTCAATAAGAGTTTCGATTTCAGCATCTACCGTATCTTGTGAACATATTGTGTAGATTCTGGAACAGAGTGAGTGAATGAGATTTCTCTTACAACCAAGAGGTACCCAACTATAAAATTTAGTGAACTGACCGGTCGAAGTTGGTTTTTGATAGACTGACCTTTGAATCGAGTCATCATTCCTAGTTTATGATGAACTGATTAGTGACTTGATTCTAGATGAAATTCCTGAAGTTCAAATAAGAAGTCGTGACCGATGGGATAAATCAAGGCGAACTTGATGACTGGTGCTCAACGACGTCACTGGACAGAGATCATTGTATATTGCGAACCTTCTAATTCTGAGCTAATGGTCCAACGATTGCAAGCTTACTATGGAACCGGAAGGCACTGGGTTCGATCCCTGGAGGGCAGAGTTAAGGGTTCTCGCTGCTGAAGAGTCCCATGCCAAGACGAAACAGTTGTCCGGATTTCCAATGGATACAAATTGAAAATTACTGTCTTTTAGACACCTATTCTGTCTCGTATCTCACTAAAATCTACTTATTACGACAGCTCTTTTAACCACCTACTTTCTAATCAATAAGACCTTTAGTTTTATTGCAAGTAACACAGATATAAAAATTATCACTATTAATTGACAGACATCTTGCTTAAACGACCTTATAACTCCAATAACCGAAAATATTCAAACTGTAAATGAATGACAATCTGAAATCGATTTTTGTTCACTTGTCACCATTGCTAATCTGTACTAAGGTGAAAGTATGCAGACAGTGACAACAACTTGATTAAAATTTGTGAACCAGGAATTTCTTCAACCTGATTGGTAGATTGTATAGGTTGAGTTGAATTGCTTATATGCTGAAGACAGGATTTGTAAGTGAATGTATGGATTGATAATCTATGCATTCTTGACAGCCGAAACAAATCATCAGAAATCAGGAAATGAGTCATGGATATATATCAAAATATGTTTATGACGAACCAACATTTTGGTGGTTTTGCGTCCTCTGAGTTTTATGATTTAATCGTGAAGCTTTCATTACTAACCTACACAACGTCATCAGTACGAACTTCAGAAAGAAGTGGGCTATTGGGAATTCTCCACAAGTGGTTTAACAGCCCTTCCTGATGACCTTGAGTGTGATTGGTCATTAATGGTATGCCCTTTTCATTTTTTCATACACATGCATGTAAACTGATTGGCTGTCGAGGTGATGTGACCTCAAGCCCTGTCACTGCTTTTGTGTTTCTCATTGGCTGATAAATTAAGCCAATCAGAAAAGAGGAACAAGTAAAAGCATTTATTGGTTTGAAAATTTATTGATGGCAGGTAGCATTAGAAGCCGGAATTTGCGTTCAGTCCTATTTAGCATTCGTCAACTAGATGTACCTACAGGTGACTCTTCTGTTTCAGTAGCCTAGTAGATAATACTCTACAGTTTGAAGGGATGGATGAGGGATTCGAAACTCACTGACCGGAATGTAGGTACATCTAGTTGATGAATTCCAAATTGGACGTAATTTTCATCCAGGATTGTAACTGCTTACCTTCACCTTCACCATGCATATAACATAAGGAATCTTCAGGCAATATCGAGGTATCTGCACAACATCGTATATACCAACAAAGGTTGATGAGTTCGATCCGGTATAACAAAAAGATATTTTGTTGATTTTGTTGAGTACTAAACACCAGGGTTTGTCCTGGCGCGAACTTGACAGACGCAAAGACCAATCACTAATTATTCGGACTTGTTATATACCCACGAGTACGAGACCAAGGAAGAACACGATAGCGTAGTCGGATAGAATTGTATATTTGGATGGTTGTGCCAAAATACCGATGCGTTCCAACTAACTGGCTAGAGAGTCGAATACGAGCAATGCAACGTAACACGACAGCGTGCCAAATGGAGAGGATGCTTGACCGGGTGCTTTCAGCCTAGCGAGTCCAGTTGAACTATCAAGGTCAGCATCAATGTTAAATGTCATTGAACCCTAGGCTATTGATTTTGGGGAAGCATGTGACGCTACACTCCTGGTATTAATTGCAGATACTATATCCAAGATTTCAACTTTTCTCCAGTGAACGCCGTCTCTTTGTCCTCAGCATGGTATGCACTACTAACTGACAAGTTGATGAACCATTGAGAACCCAAGAACACTAAACGGCTGTTACATAATAGTTCAGAAGTCATCAGCAGTGCGCATCCACCTCCAAGGAAAGATCTCACGGCTGTTAGGTTTCACAGCCACCACATTAATATTCATTTACTGGCTTAGAATAAAATGGTACACAGTGTGTTACTTCTGTCACTTCAAAACATAACACGACCGCCATCCATTGCCATAAGAAGATATTTGTCCTCACTACCGACTGGGTCGACCGAAAGTTCATGGGTTTTGGTTAGAATTTCGGGAAATCCAAGTCCAAGTATGTCACCAGTGAGGACTGGATAGCGTTTCAGTTACCAAACGCGAACATCATGGAGTGACATAAGTTGGAGAACCAAAGAAGACATGATATCACTGGACGTCCGTTTCTTCCTGCTATGGAACTTCTCAGTATTGAGTACTCATAGCCCTGGCGGAGATCGAATCCAAAACTTCCGTTTTTCCCAGCCAGCATGTCACCAATGAGCCACTTAGTTGGAATCCAGTGATCCAGTTCCGTATTTCTGTTAGTTCACGATATAGCGCGACCTTCATCCAATGTCAGCGCCGAGTAACTGTCCTCACGTCCGACCTGGTTTGCCCCACTGTTCACAGCCTCTCATTCGAACTTCAGGAATCCCATCTCTAGCAAGTCGCTAATGAGCTCATTAGTGGTTGCCCTGTTTCACGAACTGATAGAAGATGTGGACGAATGGAGTTCTACTTAGTAGCTTAGGACGAATAAAGTCCTAGGTTCTATGTATAGCGGGATCATGGATGCCAACTATTGGGGTGTCGCATAATAGGATGAAACAGCTGTTCAGCGCCTAAAAGTCAATGAATAAATAAATCCCCACAAACCTCCAAATTGAAGGAAAGTAAGTTCAAATAATCGACTCAAAGATGATTAGTCAAGTATTTTACGACAGAAGGATACGTCAGGTAATTAGGATTCATAACTTTTAAGGAGTTCTGGATATCCATCTCAAAGTACGTCATTAATAAGTATTGTACTATAATTCAGTTTCTTTCTAGACACAAGCACCAACCGTAACCCTAACCGATATGTCTTCGTTCTTATCGATGCATAGAGACAAATGTGGATATTCAGTGAAGTAAGAAAATCTGAAAAACCGTACTCCATCTTCATTTTACTTGGTAAATTACATTCAAATGAAAACAAATATTGATTGTACAAAGAAATATTTGTTGAATAGCCTGATAGTTAGCCAATATATTCATAATTCTCGTTATATATTAACTTTTAGCTTGACATCAGATATAATGAAAAGCTGTCTTAGGTGATACATCCATCACAAGACCATGGCCAATATTTTGGTGCAAAACTGTAGGAAATATTTGTGTATATTTCTTAATAGATGTTTAGTACAAGTTAGAGTTATCCACGATGTAAGGCTTCTTGTTAACCACTGAATATACTTATTAAATCATGGAACGAAGGAAATCCTCTCTATCAAACTTATTTTGAGAAGTTGTACAGTCGTATATCTACTAAATTTATATCCATCGGCTGGATTCGGCCATGGCTTAACTTTTCATTTCACCTTCAATCCCTAACTAGTATAAATACTAGTCTGCCAAACTAAGGCCATCTCAGATAGTTAAAATGATAACTCCATTATTTCAGATATCTGAGCTTTCAAGTCCTACCACCCACCTGATATACTCTGTGTTCATTGCTAATACAATTTTCCATACAGATGGTGCATCATTCCTACTAAATGTGTTGCGTGTCGACTCGATGAATGAGGATTTAGTAATCAATCCCCCAGCTCAGTGCTGATTTTGAAGTGGAGACAGGAGTGAAACAAGGTTGCATACTATCACCCATGATATTCCTGATTGTAGTCAACTGGACTGGATCATGCAGCAAACTGTATGGAGAGAAGATAGACATAAGCCGGACCGTGTAAAAGAACCCAGAAGATTTGGATTTCGCCAGTTATGACTTGTGTCTAGTGTCTTGTCACACAAACTTGAAGATCTACAGGCAAAACTAACAAGTTGACAGATGAGGTGAGGCAGGGAAGGGAGAATGTAGAGAAGACAGACAGAGTTGATGATGATTCCCAACAAACACCACCACCACCAACAACAACAACAACAAGCTCCAATCACCATCAACAGAAGAAACTTAAAGGAAGTGGCCTCTTCCACCTACACCTATCTAGGCAGCACCGTTTCAACTACAGGTGGCATAGGCACAGACGAGGACGTCAAAGGCAACCAGAATCGGAAAGCACACAAGGCAGGAGTTCATCAATCTGAAACCAGTGTGGAGATCTTCTGCACTCAGCATAAGGCGTGAACAACATCCGGATTTTCA